ATAATTGGTACGAGACCCGTACGCCGTAGCTTCCTTAGAAAGAACTCGGATTCAAAGCCTGAAGCCATGACACACCCAGTGGACAGCCATGGGCGTCTTTTTTTCCATTTGATTCTTGAAGGGCTCTCTTTTGCCTACAGGGAACTGGATTCACGAGCTGCAGAGAAGCCTCAAGCCAAAGAGTACCCTTCCAACTGACAGAAGGCACCTGGAGGGTACCTGGAAGATCAATTTTCTCATTGGTCCCAGGCGTTTCGCCACTTTCGTAGGTAACCTGAAACAAACATATTCATGTAAAACCTAGAGCTAAGACACCCGAAGGGTGAACTGAAGCGCCCTTCCAGGCACTAAGGGACCGGGTCCCCCTGTCCCTTGGCCCCGGGCGGCTTCCCGGGCGACGGATCTTGCGGCCTGGCCACGAAGTTTCGCAGAACCCGGTGCGGCGCTTCCCCAGCTTACCACCTGGACACCAAATTGGGCCCTTTTCGTCTGCCTTTGCCGCTCTTTTTGGTAGGTCGAAGGCAGCCAGAAAGGGGGCTCCTTGGGGGGCCAGGTTGCAACCATCAGGGGAAGACACTTCGGAGATGTTTTGGAGTTGCTGTAACCATAGGTGGCCTCTTGGACAAATATATAGATGGCCGTGGCAATTGGAATGAAACCATCGAAACCAGTGCCATTCATTGATAAACAAACCAAAAAGGACACCTAAGGCTGTCTCTGAAGCCAAATGCTGCCAGAATGAACCACTTGAGTATGGTCAAAGTTTAAAGGCTTTCCGAACCATTTGCTCAAGTTCACTAGAAACAAAAAACAAACTCCAGCGGTACCAGATTCTCTTTGAAACCAACAGGGAAAAACGCCTCCTTAAGCACATGGAAGCTTTCTTCACCCCAGTGGATCCGTTTACCTGTATGGTAGGTAAGTAACCAAAGGCTTGCCGCCCTTTAAAAACCAAATGGACAATGGCTAGTTACCTAGTCTAGGGGTTTGCCTGGGATCCAGTGGGGAACCGCCCTTTAAGCAACCAAGGGAACCGCCCTTTAAAAACCAAACGGAAAATGGATGGCTATAGTAGGTAACTGGGATCCACTGGGGAAGCTTTTCTGTTCCCGTACATGATCTTCCAAACCAGTTTTATTCCGCCTGCAAGTGGACCTCGCATGGATCGATCGTCGCACAGATTTTGTTAGACACAACACCTCAAGGAGGCAGGCCAGAAAAAAGGACACCCTGTTCCAAATGGGCAGAATTCGAAGGACCACTTTTGGATGGGTTGAAGGAAAGCCAAAAGGAACAAAATGCAGCCTGTAGAGCCCCTGATTTTCAGACAAACCCGATCTGAGAAGCCCATGTTGCAGCTAGGTCCTCCAGTAGAGAGGTATCAATAAGGGTACCCCCTTTTTTCTGTCGTCATCTGTTGTCTATTTTAGTAGGGAACCCTTTCCCAAAACAGAAACGGTAAAAGGGCACTACTGGTGGACCTTGGCAGGTTCCAAAAGAACTCCCCCAACTTGACCTACTGCACTTGTGCCACGGAAGCGCTGTCAGGTCACTACTTGGGAGTTCGATTCTAAGCGGAGAGGCCACTTGGGGTGTTTCACCCCCTTGTAACAAGCTTTACCCCACATTCACGGGCGACTCACTTTGTGGGTTACAACCGAACGGCTACCGTTGCAACTTACAAACTTGGCGAATCGAACACCTATATATATATATATATGGGTGTGGCTCAAAATTAAACAGGAGGGTTACGCAGGAAAGAACCACTGGGCATCTCGCTTTCATCTGCGCATTTGGGGATAGTTTGCATACCGGCTTCTACAGGTCTGAGGTATTTGTTTCACGTCAGGTTGTCCAGCGCAAAGGAAACGGTTTTCGAAGCCAAGGGGTTTTCTCCCTTCGCACCGAAAGCCGAAAGGTGAAGCGCTTCCCTTGCCTAAGGCCTCGTATCAGTACTCCAGGCAAAAACAAAAAATACTGGATCTTCCCCAAGGCCCTTTCACTACTTGGCCAAAAAATATGGGGTTGCTCCATTTTTGTTTTGACTCTGCTCCACAGTCAGCCCCATCATCCACGTTTTCTCAGCAAGAGCTCCAGTTTGCGCATGGCTCGTCTTTCTGGGGGGGGGGTTACCCCTGTTTGTTCGAGGTGTTCAACGGAGACCAAGCGCAAAAAACCGCCCTTTTAGCGGGTCCCCTGAAAAAAGACAGGCCCAGATTGGGTGAGTTCAACCAAACGAGTTCCCAGCAAATGGGGGTGGACCAGAAAAAGGGGGGGAGGGTCCTTCTGCGAACTGAGTGTTACTCACTAGGCTGTACTTTGTGAGGAACGTGGGCCCTTCACATCCATCGCCCCACCTTCTTGGTCTGTGGCGCCGCGGAGTAAACATCTCCCTGGCAGGCACGGAACCATGGTCATTGAACGCAGGGCATCTCGGTTGCGCTCTGCTCCCCTGCTAAAGATGAAATTCTAGTGGTTTGATGGAAAACCCATTGGTTGGCAAAAAGTTAAAGTCCTAACATCCAAGCAAAATGCACCAAAGGCATGGTCACGAGTCATGCTTCGCCAACCAGGGAGCCCAATGTTGCTGGTCTATATCCGCTTCTGTATGGTCTCACACGTATCCCGGAATCCCCAAACAGCCACACAAGGAAGGGGCTAGTGGCAAGAAAAGGGAGCTGTTGGCACGGGAACAATTCTAGCATTCGAGCCCATTTCCACGACCAGTTGCTAGGTGCTGAAGGGAAATGGAGAGGTGAGTGAGAGAGTGAGGGATCCATGTCCTTCATCTCTCCAAGACAAACCAGACGGTACAGAGAATGAGAGAGCCTGTCCATCTCTGCCTCCCGGCCTCTTACCCCCAGTGAACATCCCAATCCCCACTAAAATAGACTAAAATGGGTGGTGCACCTACCCCAAAATGGTACCATTGGTTTTGACTCACAGCCATATGGCCAGCCAAGACGTTTATTCTGATTCTGCATTTGTCTCCCAAGATAAAGAATCACCCTGGGGGCTTCATGTCATGTCGAGGAAAAATTGGAGCTAGGCGCGGCCCTGTTCTCACATGTACGTAAAAGGCATCTGCTTAACTTTGAATCACCGCCATGCCAAATGTGCTATGGCCAAGACACCCTGATTCGCCAAGTCGTAAGTTGTTGGCCAAGTTATAACCCACTGACTAAGCTCCCAAGTTGTTCGTGAATGTTACTAGGGGGTGACCAAACCCAAGTGGAATCCGATCACAGACACCAACTTGGCGAATCGAACCTCCAACTCGGAAAATCCTTTCAACCTCGGTGTCTATGACAATTCGATGTGTTGGCCGCTGTGACTCCTCGGAACGCTAGCGGCTATCTGGATAGGCTGGGCCCTTCAGGTTTCAGGGGTCAGGGCCTGGGGTCCGCTGAAGTCGCAGGTCTTTTGGACCCGGCTTTGGTTTGAACAAAAGGCATGTGTGAAAAAAAAAAAAAAAAACATTGGAATGGGGGCTGTGGGTCACACGCAAATATGTTAAGACCACGTATATAGTCATGAGTATCGAAACATAGTTGGCTTTCTTCACAAACCAAGTTCGCCCATGACTCTAGACATGTGACTTTCTGAAACTTGTTGACCCATGAGTGGCTTAGTGGCTCCGGAACCAGGGCGAAACAAGGGTAACAGGGCACGACTGGGGGACCTAGAGGAGCCCCCTGAAAGTTGACGTGGAACCCCAAAAAAGGTCCCCATTTGGAAGTTTCCCCGTACAGACTATAGTCTTGGGTTCCAAAACGCAAGAACGCAGCACTCCAAAATTGAAGCTCCGCGCACCTTGCTCAACACAGGACTCGTTTTGTTCAGTTGCAACATTTACGGCACCGGTATCTTCTCAGGATGTACTTATGGCAAAAAAAAGATCAAAGTGCATCCCTATTCCTGAATCCCACCCCTGTTAATGCTTTTCGGGAAAGCATGTATGACACTACTGGACAAAGAGTCACGTTTCTTCGGCTGCAATGACTCCCCTTGTGTCGGCTCTGAATCAGCATATGACCTTAAAGCAGGCAGGGAACAAGGAAGCACCAAAGATTACAACACCCTCCCGGACCCTCGAGCTACTCTTGGAAAGAAGCAAGCCACCCCATTGTTTTGGGGTTGCTGTATCCCATTTTCATGGGCTCGAGGGTCAAGGTACTTGTCTCAGTTGCCCAAATGACCCAGAAGGTTAATCTTTTGGGGCCATGACTGAAACTGAACCAAAAGGAGGAAACCAAAAGCTGAAAAGGTCGATTCGCTTACCGCTCCGGACCCCCTGGAACCCTCCTTGTGCACCCTCCCAGAATGCTGCAGAGAGAGAGAGAGAGAGAGAGAGAGAGAGAGAGAGAGAGAGAGAGAGAGAGACGGGGAGAGAGAGAGAGAGAGAGAGAGAGAGAGAGAGAGACAGAGAGAGAGAGAGAGAGAGAGAGAGAGAGAGAGAGGAGGGAGAGAGGGAGAGAGGGAGAGAGGGAGAGAGAGAGAGAGGGAGAGAGGGAGAGAGCCCCAACCCACCCCGAACAAGCTGATTTGGGCAGACGACCCCATAGCTTTTAGCTGGGGAAAAGTATAATTGAACGGGGTGGTTGCAAAATGGATGTGTCGTTTTCCTTTCCAAAACGAATCTCAACGGTTTTCCTCTAAGTTTCAACAAATACCCACAAGCAAATGGCAGTATCCCCCAAAACCAACAAAACACCGAACTCCTTCTTTTTGTTGAAGGGAAATACCCAAAACCTCAAGGGTGGTTGCAAAATGGCTGTGTCGACTTGTTTTTGCTTTTTTGAATATAATATATATAATATATATATCCCCAAAACCGAAAGAAAAGAAGAAGAAAGAACAAAAAAACAACGTGCCGTTTTTCTCGCTCTTTTTTGGGTATCCACCCCCTGAACCCCCCCCCCCCCCCCTCCGCCCATAAAAAGAAACACGAACGAGACATCCCGAGAAGGTCGCCCTTTGGATCGACCTTGCTTCCGCCTTCATCTCTGCCGCCTCCATCGAGTAGGAGAACATGGGCCACTCGCCTAGCATTTTGCCCATGTTTCTAAGGGTAGCTTCCATTTCCATTCTTTCGAGTGATTCTTCTCTTCAGGAAACCATCCAAAACCCAGGAAAACAGCGGGTTCTTGTCAAGAACCATGGTTGAAAAGAAGGGGAATCAACCCCTAGAATGTTGAGGTCCAAGTTTGTTTGGATGTCGCAATGGTCTTGGCTCAAAATGGGGGGGGGGGGATGGGAGGGGGCCGGCCAAATGGGGAGTGGTAGTACCAGGAAAACCCAACAAAACAAAAGGCACAACTCGGTGAACACCCGGATTTAAACAAACTTCGCAGGATGTGTCCTTTGTATTTCTTAGATCAAAGACAACTGACATGGCTGACCCGTGGGAAGACTGCAAGCCTCCAACACGCGTAACACGCAGCAAGCCCCAGGGTCCCCTGTTCTGGGCAGTTTGGAGTAATTCAAGCGAACTTCCAGTCTGCCTTTGGCTTGATATTTCTAGCTGTGGAAAAGTCGGTTGCTAACAGCTCATAAACGAGGCGATGTGACACCAAACTGAGCGGATCCATTCGCCTGGCTTTGCAGCTAGTCATAAACTTGCCACCCGGTGTACTGAGATCCCCGATCCCCTGGGGATAAGCTTAGCTACGCTGCCCTCAGATCCCTGGCTAATCATAAACACCAAAAGCTAAAATGGCCAAGGAGTTCCTCACGGGCCAAAAAATGCCCGAATGCCCGCCGTCCGCCCAAACGACTCGCATGGCGCATGGCGACCGTGCCAAACAGCGCCTCGATCCGCGTCGCTTCTGGGGCACTCCTCAGCCCCGCAGCTCTGCATGTTGCGCATCTTTGCTTCCTCCTGAAAGCTTGGCGTCGGCTTTTTTAGGGGACCCCACAAATTGTGGCGTTGCTCTTTGGTTGGAACGCCCTCTTTGAAATGGTGGACTTCTCACCCATGAAACGAAAACACTGGGTCCGGGATCCAATTGTTCATCTATCTTTACATTTCTTGTCATGGAGCCCTAGCAGTAGCCAGCAGCAACAAAGGCGCGGGAAGTACAACAACAACAAAAGATGTGTTGCTGACCAAAACACACAAGCACAAGCATCAAACGAAGCCGGAGACAAAAAATCAGGCCTTGCGTGGTTAATAAGATAGCCCCTCCTCCTCGTACCCCTCTTGGGGTCACTTAGAGTGGCCAAACAAAGCCACCTTCTTCGTGAAGGCCACCTTTCCTGGCCCAGCCATCCAAAAAAGTGGATCGAATTGTCTTTGCGCCCATTTCTGGGGCTAAAGTCAAAAAATGCCCACCACTTGAGCATGGAGTTAAAGCCCATAAACTCGAGTGAGTGTTGAAGAGACTCCCACCTTAACACAAACGTGAAATTCCGTTGATTTTCCTTTGAAACAACCCGCTTTTTGCGGGGGTGTCACCCGACTAAAGTCCATGAACGATCCAGGAATCTTGGGGCCCAACGTGGATGTTCAACAATTTTACTAAGCAGGATATAACCATAATAAGGGGACCCACTCCAGTTACCCAAGTTATACGTAACCATGGTTGTAACCTACATACTAAGTAGATTGAACACCCAAGCAGGGGTAAAACAATGCTTTGACTCCAGAAAAGGTGTCCTGGGTGAATGTCCAAACATGTTGTACTAGCTTCCCAAAAGGAAGCCAAAAGGAAGCCAAAAGGAAGCCAAAAAGAGATGGTTGGCTCAAATTATAACCATGATTCTAACTTACTTCCTAAGTTGGCCGGACATCCAAGTGGAGCATGTTTAGGGACAGGTGAACCTGCTGCCAGCTCGCAAGGACATGGCTCTAAGCTACTTACCTGACAATGGCTGGAAGTCCATGAACTCAACTCGATTGAGGGGCCCTCAAACTACCCTTCAAAATGGGCAACACAAAAATGGGGCGGGGGGCAATCACCTACCTGGAGTCTCCATGACCCTTAAAAAATGGGGTCATTACCCAAGATAATAGGGTCATTGACCCATTTTTTAAGGGTCATGGAGACTCCAGGTAGTTGTTTCAGTCCAGGAGCCTTAAACCTCGGTGATTCTCTCCCAAAATAAAAACTCGAATCGCGGAGCAAGTCTTGGGGCCTCGGTCGATTTAAGGCGGCTTCGAATTTCTAGGCTCCACATGGTTTTTCATAATGCTTTCCACCGGCGACTCGAGTGGCAAAACGCCTGGAAGCAAACTTTTTAGAGGGGACGTCCAACCAGTCGGATTTCACGACTCCTGCTTCTCTTGCAGCTGCTTCTTCCGACTCTGTGAGATGGTGTCCCAAAGCTTCGCCACATGGGATTTCACCTACGGCTGGAAAATCGGTCACTGGAGAAAGCAAGGGGACATATACGGAAACGTAGGGGACATATAATATAGGGAAAACACAGTAAATTAGGGAAACATAGGGAACATAGGGAAACATATACGGGAAACTGTAGGAAATCTAGGACAAAGATCAGGGAGATGTAGGAAAGTATATGGAACATAATATACAGAAACATAGAACACAAATGGCATGGACACCAAGTTGATGAACCACAATTCCCCATTGGCGCGAAGAGATTTCGCTCATCAGGGAAGCGTCTGCCCCCCACCACTCGTTTCCCCAGCATTTTGGACCACAGGAAACCTTGCACGGAGGAAACCCATCTTGGTCTTGGGGCAGGGGCATAGGATTCACATGCCCAGTGGCCAAGGAAAAAAAGGGGCATCCTTTGGGTTGGTCGAGTTTAAAGGGAACCCTTCCCAAAAAAAGAAGAAAAAACGGGCACCACTGGGCAACTGGGTAAAGGGTCATGACCCAATTGTTTAAGGGTCATGGAAACTCTGGTCATTCTGATTATTTCCAAATTTCCCTTGGAATGACCTGAGGTAAGTCTGCGAAAGTGATTTGCTCACGATCGAATTTTGAATACTCATTGACATCGAGCGAGTCATGTATAGCGCATGCATAGCGCGTAGGTGAATTTGGCAAAGCTGAACGATTGCTCTTAAATGATTTGCTCACTGCCTGAACATAGGTGTCCTTCTTGGGAAAACAGATGGCCCTGGTAATTGATTGAACCACCAGGTTCAAGCAGGCCCTCTATTTGTTCAATCAAATCAACCAAAAAGGACAGCTATGGCCTGAGTACCGAATGACGTCTCTGCGGCATGAGAGCTGTGCAAAAACGGATCGGATGCGCTGCGCGGATGCCGTCACAGGAGGAAATCCACTCGCTGAACTCGGAAACACCCAAGACCGATCCATAAAACACGGGCTACAATTCAAGGCAGAACAAAGGAATCAGTCCATTGGGGGCCTGAGGCCCCTGGAACAAAATGAACATGCTTCCAGTAGTGATAGATTGAAGACCAACAGGGAAAATACACGGTACTTTGACACGCAAAAGGAAAGGAAGTTCTCCTCAAACGGCACCCCTTGCTGACGGGAAATGTGTCAAATGGACAAATTTGGGCCCCTAAAGTAGGATTCAGGGTGACAAAGCCAACGTGAAAAGGGCACCGACTCAAAACAAATACGCGCAGCGCAATTCCGGAGAGGACTGGCCGAACAAGTCCAGAAACTCGGGAAGTAAGACCTAAAAGAAACCGAAAGGAACCAAAAGGACAAGAAAACCCTCTAGCAATCTCACTCCGCGCATGCTCCGCGCATGCACTTTAGCGCGCCACTTTTCTCTGCTGATCTTTGTTCTTTTCTACGCAGCCGGCTCTGGGAAAGGGCTCTGTTGTTCAACGGATGAACTGAGGAAACCCGACCAGGGGCCCTTTTTAGGAACACCATGGCCAAAATACGCCGGAGACGACTCCAAGAAAAAAGCGCGCTGTTTGGCTAGGAAATGACGAGGCTGTTTGGGGCTTTCTAGTCAAAAAGGCGGGCTTCTGGGGCTCTGAATGGGGGGTACCCGTTTTGGGGTGGTTGTAAGGGGAAACCAAGTAAAACCAGGAGATGCCCTCCAAAGGCCAGCCAAAGGGAAACCAAAGCCCATGTTGGACGCTTCGCATCCCTTACATCTTGGTGGACGTTGGAAGGGGAGCAAAAACTTAAATTTTAGCAGTTAAGTGGGGATTTCCCACTAAACCATAATAAGCAAAAAGGTAAAATGTTTCCCAACAACAACTATGACATGGGGACGCAGCCAACAAACGTTTTGGAGGATGATCCAACCATTGAAACAACATAGCCATATTCTGGGCCACCATTGTGGCTTTCTTGCGCACAACCAAGAAAGGCACGTGTACCCAGAAAAATGGCATCGTTTTCGTGTCATGTCCACTCTCTTCAGGGCAGGGATCATTATCTTCAAAGTTTCTGAAGAAAACAATGGGTGAAGAGAACGGGGAATCAATCCTGAGACTCCTTCAAATTCAAGAGATGCCCCCCCAAACATCACACAATTCAACCCGCCCCCGATCCTTGGAATTGCCACGTGGCTGGTGTAACCCTAGTAACCCATTTACCATGGTTGTAAGTCTGAGAAAGGGATTATAGTCCGTTGAAAGCTGACGAGAGGGTGCGCCGAAAACGGACAGACCCACGCACTTTTGGAGGGAGACCATCGGTAGATAGTGGTCATTCGGCGCCTGGTCCAGCTTCTCGCCAGCTAAGACCTCGCCCGCCTTGTTCCGTGCTCCTCCTTCGCTACAAAAGCGGCGCATCTCGCGCACACGTTTGGAGCTGGTGACGTGGCCCAGCACGGCAAGACGCGTTCTTTCGGTGCGGGGGGCTTCTATGGGTGCGCCGTTTTGAATTTGGGGCCCTTCAGTGTACATCATGTTTTGGGATTTATGTCCACCAACCCACTTTGATCGCCATTTTGGTCCAAATGATGCTTGCCTCCCCGCCTCCCTGCCTCCCCGCCTCCCTCTCCCTGCCATGCCCACTCCACACCGACCAACCAACCTAAACCCACCCAGTGCATGCCCACAAAAGGCAAGAGATTCGCTGGAGACTGGCAGGACTTGGTTCCTTAAAAGTTCCGCCCGTGTCTGGGGTGTTTGTTTGAAATGGGCTTGTCACGAAGGATTTGGGCCTAACGGTGCTGCTCCTTGAACTTTCCCTCCTGCCCAGTGCTTCCAGGCGCTTGCCGCCATAGGCAACCCTTCGGTATGAATCGCTACCTCTGGGCTTGACGTCATTGGAAACGCCTGGTTGCCTACTGTAGTGGCAAGCGCCTGGAAGCAGTGGGCAGGTGAAGGTACCAACTCAGAAAACAAACACGCACCCAAACTCGACAGGGTTCCAGCTCACGTGTGGCCCGACTTGCAACCACCTCGAAGTAATGTCACTGGGGGGGGGGGGTACTAAGGCGCAAGCGCGTGAGACACGGTCAAATCACTTGGTTTGCCCCAGAGGACATTGGACATGTAGCGAGTTGCTTGTTTGTTTTGTGGGAAGAGTAGTTTCCCATGTCCCGCCCAACAGGATCATAAACTACCAATAATGATTTTGACCGTCACATCTCACCTTGGCTGAAATGAAAACCCCGTCTGAAACCTTTGCAAATACCCTTATACCCTAGTATGCATCGGTCAGCATCGCTGTCTTTTCCTCAGCATCGGTTCAAAATGTTTGGGGGGGCAATCCCTTCCACTTAATGCGCATAGGTTCGGCCATCAGGGAGAGGAAACTCGAGGAGTATAGGTGTCCTTTTAGGGGAGATAGATGGGCCTGGTAGATGATTAAACCACCAGATACACCAGGAATCGCCATCATCTGTTTCCACCAAAGCAACCAAAAAGCCCTCGATTGTTCTACCAAAACAACAAAAAAAACCCTCTATTGTTCTACCAAATCAACCAAAAAAGACACCTGTGTCGAGGAGTTGGTGTCAAGATAGAACTCCAAAGACAGGGCGTGTTTCTGGGCAGCGGATTGGATTTGCCAGGCGTGAGAATCGGTTCGGTATCGACTGAGTATCGGCTTGAGTATCGACTCGGGGCCTTTTTCGTCCGGAACCTCTGTTTAGCAACAATTGCCTCGTATAGCTTCTCAACACAAGCCGCAGCTCACAAAAACCAAGACGATTCGAGCCAATGGTGTCTTGGCTTCTGTGGGTCTTGTGTTCTTTTCTCGGCATCGGTTTGCACGGGTTTCGGCCTGCAAAGCTCAAGTTTAGGGACACCTGGAGTCTCCATGACCCTTTAAAAATGGGTCAATGACCCCATTATTTTAGGTAATGACCAACCATTTTTTAAGGGTCAGAACCGGAGACTCTAGGCAGCCCCGTACAAATTGGACGCTGCGCGGCTTCTTGGCGATCAGGGACTGAGGGAATGAACCGTTCCATGTCTGCCCCGAGCACCGACCAAATTAAAGTCCCACGTGCGAATTGGCCACCCCCAAAATGGTGGCTTTTGTCGAGTGTCCCGTTAAACCAAACCTAAAACAGGTTGGTACCCTCAAGAAACAGGACACATCCAATTCGATTCAGCCAAACCCTAAAACAGGTTGGTACCCTCAAAACAGACACCCCCCCCCCAAATTTGATCGTATCTCACTAGGTCCTCCAGTAGAGAGTAAGGGTACCCGATTGTTTTCTGTAGTCTGTTCTAGTAGGGGAACCGAATCTCCCAACCCAAAAAGGGGTGAGAAAGGGCGCCTGGCTGGGGGACCTAGACTACATTCAGCCAAAGAAAGAATAACACAGCCCCCCCCAAGTCGATTAAACCAAACCAAAAAAAGGTTGATACCCTCAAAAAACAAGGACACCCCCCCACACCCAATTGGATCGTATCTCAGCTGCGAATTGGCCAACCCTACCCCGTCCTCCGTCGTAGGACATAAGGTCCGGCGGCACCTCGCGGCGCAGGCCGCAGGCCAGCGACGGCTTGACACTTCCGACGCTTTTTCGGCGCTCTTTTTTTTGGCGCCACATTGCTTGGCTGGAATTAGGACCCCAGCAAAAAAAAGAGGTTTTCTCCTGGTTAGTGGAAAACAAAGGGACCCCAAAAAAGCCCCCCAAAAAAGGCAGCTGATTCTGTGGATGGTTGCAAAATCCATTCCGCACCACCCGGGAGACCATGGTTGAAACCAGTACGTTTGTAGGTATTTACAGGGAAATCATCAGAAACCAGGGGTTCTTAGGTGGTGCGAAATGGATTTTGTCCATCCACAGTATCTGGCTCACTTTCGAAAGCGTGGCTCGGTCAAGAACAAAAGGTAGCTGGAGTCGGTCAATATCTATGGACCCCATAAGCAGTCAGCTGTGCCCTGGCGCTTCGACGGAAAGCTCGATGATTAGCAACGGCCAGTAGCCCGGTTCGTTGATCAAATGGAATAATTATCTCTTCCTGGAGTCTCCCTCTGACCCGAAACAATGGCCAACGACCCCATTAGTTTGGGGGAATGACCAACCAATTTTTTTAGGGTCAGCTCCGGAGACTCCAGGTACCACGTTTTGCAAAAGGCCACTCAAATGGTCCAGCCCCCCCAAAAGCGAAAGTCCGGGAAGTCAGGAAGTGAGCGCTAAAAGTATACAGATAATAAGATTGTCTGATTCTGTTTTACATTTTGTCTACCCAAAAAGAACATAAAATAGTGTTTGGATGATACCCCAACTAATTCACCATTCAAGATTAAGGGGGAAAGGTAAGCTCACAACCAACACCTTTGTCAGGTCGCCAGTCGAATTGTTCGGGTTGATTCCCTTGATGTTGTCAAAACTTAAGTGTGTTGTTTTCCGGAAAGTTATTCCAGTTCAAGCGCACTGGCAACGGCGACAGAAACGCTGGCAACGGCGACGGAAATCAACTTCTGTAATTCCAGTCCGCTAGCCCTCTTCAGAATTCCACAAAGCCGACCTGCTGGGGGACATGTGGGGGGTTGATCAACATTCCCTTCGGCCCCCGGCCATGACCATGGGTGACTGTTCCCATTCACGGAAACGTTGTTTTGGCAAAAATCACCCGCTTTATTCAGCACGAAACACGTCTGAATATATACGGGTTTGTGGGGGATGGTCCCAACCCAAACCTAATTCTAAGAATCCTGCTGCAGGAAATTCTGCAGGACTTCTGTTCTTGATTGTTTTTGTGTTGCACATTTCCTGTAGAGCGTTGTCAGGGGCCGCCAGGGACTCTGTTGACTTGGTCAGCCGATATTGAAACTTCTCTCGCTGTCGTTGAAGTTTCTCTCAAACCGCTGCCGCTTGTGGGAGGCTTCCAATGCTGATCACGGCACGTTTCATTTACGCTTTTGCCGTATCACTTCCTTGATTGGGATGGAGAACCACAATTTGTTGGGTCCCAAACAAAGAAAAACCACACCCATATTTCAGAAAGCTAGCATATACTTGGTGCTATCTTGGTGCTAAGTGCCTCCTTGATCTCTATGCGGGCCACGCCCCAGAACATGCAGTTCTCATGAAGGACACGGGACAATTTGATTGCTTCTGAAGACAGCCATTCCACAAGCTTCCACAAGAAAGTCGGCTGGCAAGAAAGTTGGCAAGCGTCCACTCATTACCCAGAATTGAAACCGTGTTCTCAACTTTGGATGTGAGCAACCAACTTTGTCGTATGATGTGGTCCTTGCAAACAATGAACAGAACCAAACAAAAGAACAAACACACACACGCACACATGAAAGCCATGAACCGTGAACTTAACGCATCTGCATTTTGAACCTTTCCAGCAATCGGACCCTGGCACCCTCCAATTGTTTTTTGTTCCTTTTCAACAAGGCGATAAATCGCAAGCAAGCCCTGCGCCACAGTCTGCGAGCGGGCCTGGTACTTCACAAAGAGCTCGATGAGATCTTGTGTCAGCTGTATCTCCTGCGTGTGCCGTGGGGCAAGGCAACCAGCTGTCACGCCAAACGGAATGTTCAACTGGGCGTGGTTCTTTTTGAGAGAACCGTTCTTGGGTTGGTTTGAGGGGAAACCAAACAAACACATTCTGTTGAGGTCCCCGTATTTTGACACATACCCAATTTTATCCAGAAGGGGGGAGGGCGGGGTGCTGGAATACAAGCCTCACTTGGGTGGCCAAAAAAGGCGCTGACTCTTTGTCTGTCTGACCCCACAACCAAGCAATATAAAGAAACTGCAGGAGTGAGGCCAAACTGGCACAACGCACTTCTGTTGCTGGACTAACTCCCCCGCTTGCTTGGTGGTTGAAGCCAAAACAAGCGGCACTGACATTTTTTGGGAGGTTATTCGCACGCACGCACGCACGCACGCACGTTGTCTAGCATGGATTTGCAGATTCAGGTTTACCAGGACCTATGACCGAGAAGCGATGGGAATCCGAAGAAGTGGGAATTGGGAAAGATCGGGCAGGGCAAAGTCCCAGTTGCCAAACAAAAAAAAAGACATTGATTGTCAGGCTGGATTTGCATCTGGAAAAGAAAAACCAAAGGAACCAATACCAGCAGATCAGAAAGAGTTGTTTTGGTATTCTGCTGTTGACCACTAGGAACTCAGGAAGGGAGCAATTCCTAGCCTTGTGGTTTGGTCATAGTTTGGCTCAACACACTGGCGTTCCCAAAAAACATGTCGCTGATGGATTGCTTTAGGCAACAGCAGGTGCTCAAAGAGGGTAGACTCTCAACTTCATTTCTCTCAAACCGCCAAAGGCAAGGTGCAAAAAAGCGCCTTATTTAAAGAATGCATGGGGGCCTATATGGGTCTGTCTTTCTTTAAGGGTACCCGTTTCTTGGCCGTTTTGAAAGGAAATCAGCAGGACGCCAACCATTTTGGGGGTCCAATTCCTTTTAAAAGAAAATCCACCAAAGTGCAGTGCAGGTTTTACTGGAGTTGGCTTCTGGGTTCTTACCCTCTTTCCAACAATCATGGAAGTGCACAAAGGGGTTCCGCAAAAGGAACATAGTCTTCCAAAGCTCTCCTGTCTTCCATGATTGGAGGGAGGCTCCTTCCCTGTTCAATCCCTTCTCTCGGGTCCTTGGTGAGAGAGAACTCCGGAAGGTTCAGCACCTCACTGCGTACCCCCGTCGCCGCAATCGACCAGCAGTCGGCCAGGTCTTAGGGAATTCACGTCTACCGCGTACACAAAAAATATGTATTTTTTTTTGGAAAGATATATGTTGTCCAAACAAGAATCACCTAAACAATTTGGGGGTAGGAGCAGGAAAGCCAAAGATGCCAAGAGCTGGCCCCTCAAACCTCGCATCTCCACCGCGAATGATTGCTGAGCCAAGGAAAATATAGAACTATCCATTGTGTGAGTTCATGTCAGAATAATATTTCGATAAAATCCTGACTGAACAGTTTACAGAAATACAATCCTTTTGAGGATGCCGGATCCCCAGTTTGAGGAGTTCGACTTCTGCGTAGTACAGGAGGGCCCCAATGTATCTTGGTGAATCTCATTAAGAAACACACAAAAACAACTGAATGCCCAAGAATGGAAGCAAATCATGGGGCGCATCGGGCGCAAAACCGATCCTTTGTGAAGTCGTTTTGGTTTGAATCCAAGTATACGAACCCATGATCAAGTACAGGAGTTCCAAATCCTCGGCCATCTTAGCCCATAGCAACTCGCCTAAGTGCTGCCAGTCACGGCTCATCCACCCCTAGGTATCCCTGCTTGGATATTCAATCTATGTTCTGTGAGGCAGTGTTGCCATGGTTACAGGACAATCCCCTCTTCCCCGCTTAGAACCAAGCTTACCTACGTACTAACTGCCAAATTGTCCATTGACCTTGTCTAAACAGGATCCCCCTACTTGGTTTGAAGCTTCTCGTCGGGATCCCCCAGAAAAATACAAAAGGTGCCATTGAACAACTGGGACTAGTTTCAAGACCCAAGCAATGGGAACCCCGACTTTTGATTCTAAGAGGGGGTGTCCCATTCATGTTAGTGGGGACTTGGACCACTGTTGGAGGGGTCCCTACCCCCCTAATAGGACTTCTCGGCGGGGTTCTACTTAGATGCGGGATCAGCATTATGAAACATAGCCGAAACATGGATACCCAAGGGCCCACTGGCTCGTGCTTGGCATGCTTGTTGTTCTGTGCCTCTTTCATTCGCAAGGTGATATGGCCACATGTAATATACACATGATGCGAGTAGTCACAAATCAAAACCAGGCACGACCAGAACTCATTTAAAAGAGTTCACAGGGCTTCTTGCTATCCGCACCTGCTGGCTTTTTCGTTGGTGCCTTACAAACCTTCATCCACCCGGGTTTTCAGGACGTGGGTTCATGCGAATTGTTAGTACTAGGCTGGAAGACTACCTTCAAAGCTCTGTCAGAACCCCCCTTTGTATATTCCCCAGTGCTTCCAGGCGTTTCGCCACTCTCGTAGATAACCCTTCGGCATTTTACATCCAGGATTTACCATGGATGGTCTCCCCCTGTTTACAATCTATAGTTGGAACTGGAAGCACTGGGTGTCCAAATCTTGCAACCCAAGTGAGGACCGACCATCGTGAGCTCGTGCTTTACTCCCTTTTCGCTCGCCAACTAAGATGGGTAAGCTTCAGACGGATGTCTGCATCCGAAATCGGGGCCCCAGTTCCACCACTCGAAACTCCTCATGGCACCGGAATATGACAGCCCGAGCTTACACTGATGTCTTTGTGGGGGTTCACGTTCATTTTGGAAGCGAGCAGCAGCCAAGGAGGAATGGCAATCAAACCCATGATTCATCCACCCCAGCCTTTTTTAGTGGGGGGGGGGGGTGTCCCTGGGTTTAGTGGGAATCCATCACTTTTGGAGGGGCGCCCAACCCCCTAGTCATATGAAGGGCTCTACTTACATCCAAAGTCAACATCAACCCGTTCAATTCACAAGGAAAATGAAATCCACTTCTGTGATACGTATAAAGAGGGGATTCCCCCTGTATCACAGTGGGACAAACCCGTGGGATCTCACAACCCTGAACAAATCCAATTCACAAAATGAAAGCCGCCGGACAGTACCGATCAGCTGCTCGGTGCTGCTCCAACCCTGGTTCAGCTTGATCTCTCTCGCGGCTCTCCGGGCTCTCCCCCCAACTCCAGCACCCAAAGAACTCGATGCAGTTCAGGCGCTTTCTCCTGTGAATCAAAGCATCGCCCCCAAAACCCGCTTGGGCTTTTGCAAGTATCAACAAATGCCCATCCCTTTGGGTTTCTTGACTTCGGACAATTTGAACGTGACCTATTTAGCAAGCTTTTGCTTTCCCAAGAAAACCAGGTAGAACCCCTCCGGCCATGCTCCTATCAATGGAACTCGGCAATGGCTTTCCTGCCCGGCCACATTCTTGGGTTGACTATGTGGGTAAAGGAGAACATTGTCAAATTCTCCTGCCGTCACCCTCGTCCTTGCTTGGGTCGTCGACCAACGTCTGGTAGGCTATAACCATTGTATGGAGACTAACCCCAATAACCAACCCACTTAGCATTGCTACAACCTACATATCTGACGTTGGTTGAACGCCCAAGTACTGTTGAGCCACACCCATTCGCTTCCCCCCAAGGAGATTTGGAGGGTGCCACTGAAGTGGGGGAAGATCAGCCACGAAAGAGAGGAATCCGGATTCAGGCAACTCCAGTGAACCTCAACAAGAAAGCACAAACACAGAAGAAAACCCCTTGAAAAGAAACCAAAGAGAAATAAAATAACTCCTTGTTGGGACTTGGACTAATACCCGAAATGGCTGGTTTCCTTTGGGGCTTCCAATGAAAAGCCTCGAAAAAGACGAGCCACCCACGTTGCACAAAGTTCTCGCTCAAACACACCTCGAAAGTGGTTTGTGCATTTTGAGGTTCGGTGCTCTTTTTAGCCAGGGATACCGAGGGAAAACCGGCAAAAAAGTCCCTTACTTGGGTCGCAGGTTTTAGTCTACCTTTCCACTTACCAGAGTTCCATTTTGGGCCCTGTTTTTGAGCCACACCCAGGCCCCATTTAAGGACCATATTGCTTGTCTGATCCTCATTTCACAATGCACCACCATCCCCAAATGTTATTCCCAGTAAACCCAAAGCAACCGGGTCTTTTAACCACACAATCCGATCATCAGGTATCTTTCAAGGGAATCTTCATCATAGGTGGGCTTGTTTCGCCGCCGAATCGGCAAGCTCGCTACAAGTGTGTCCTCCTTGAAATCCGCGTGTTTTGAAGCGCGGCTTTTGAAAAGCTGTCTTTTTCTATCGGACCAACTAACAGGTTTTCTTGGTTTTCCTTTCAAGCCACCAAACTAGGCTGGAATTAGGACCCCAGCAAAAAAAAAAATAAATATATATATATATATATTGTTTGCCTGGTTGGTGGAAAACAAAGGGAACCCCAAGAAAAGAAACAAAAAAATAAAAAGGGGAGCTATTTCTGGGGAAGCAAAGAGGGGTCCCCTCGAAAAGAGACACGTTCATATCACTCAGCTTGCGGTTCTCTCGGCCCAGTCCAGCAGCGGCTTGATCTGCACCACGCACACTGCGAAGAGGGAGCCTCAAGTCTTTTTTCCCCGCCGGGAGCAGTGGTCTGGGGTGTGGTTTGGGGATTTTGCGGTTTCGAGCATGGGGGAGTTTTTGTTCTTTGTTAATCCCGGGCTTTTTGGCTAGGTCCTCCAGTGGAGAGGTTAGAATAAGTTGCTACCAACTTTGTTCTGTCTATGTTAGTAGGGGAGCCCTCCCAACCAAAAAAGGGGTGAGAAAGGGCACATAGCTGGGGGACCTGGGCAGTGGTCTGGGGTGTGTTGGTTTGAGTAGTGGTTTGTGGTGTTGGGGATGGAGTGAGTAGCATTGAGGAACAATCAGTCAGACCCAACCAAACATTTGGCGAGTTGGCCAGGAAATGGTTGCCCAACATGTCGGGTACTCGTAGTGCCAGAAACTCATTGACTGTTGTTGCATGTCAGATATGTACTTCCATTTGCTTAAGCCCCCTGGAAAAAGCAAATATTTCCGGTAGTGATAGAGTTTTGTTTTAAACAAACAATGGAAAATACACAATATGTCTTAAGCAAATGGAAGTATATAAAGGTTTATGCAGGCCTCGCCATTGATGTTTGGCGCTACCTCGAAAAGGAAGCCAATACACTTTCAGGCCAGGGGGGAAAGCATACATTTTGCACAGTGAGACAGTGAAAAAGGGATTGCCCTGATTGCAACCGGTGATTGGCTCAAGGGGGAGAAGGGCCTTGCTTGGACAATTTGTAGAATAAGCTTATGGTGTTGTCTACAAGTATATGTCCTGATTCTTTTGTGCACCGCTCAAGGGGACCACCGCAGGCTCTGCCCTTCCACCCCAGTTGGAAACCCACTTTAAGTGGCAGCATGAAACCGGACCGCAAATCAGCCTCACAAAACCTAGGCCAGTGCTTCCAGATACCACAATTCTTAGGTGACCGGGAACACCCATGATGTAAAACCTGGAGGTAGCCGTACCGAAGGATAGTAGGCAACCCTTCGGTATGGCTACCTCTACATTGCCCCTACTCGGGTGTTCTTTGGCGTTTCCGTGAATGCCCCCCTCACCATAGGGTTGAAGAAATGAGTCCGAATGGATGCTGTTCGTTGTTTCCTTTTTGTGTGTTTTTTCCAAGCTACCCCATTGTTCGAATTCAAATACCTGCCCCCTCGCTCCAAAATTATCGCTGAGTGGTGAATGCTTCAGCAGTGGATTTCTTCGGGGAAGAAAAGGGGCTGTTTGGCGATTTTTTTGTGACCTACGTCCTGAAAGATTAGACATCAATCTCTATGTAGATGATGCCCACCAGAGGATTGTGAAACTCATACACAGTTCACTGGAGGGTTTGACTGTTTGCCACCCGCACACTCACACACACACACACTCACACACACACACACACACGATCACACACGTTTTTTCTGCCTCAGTTCTTGCTGTGCACGGACCGTGCTTCAGCGATTGCAACCTCAGGTGTTCTGTTGGGAAAATAGATGGACCTGGCAGATTCTGAAACAACCAGGCCAACCAAAACAACCCAAAAGACATTCCAATGATTGCAGAATGGTTTCCTGCCTCAGGTAATGTCTTGGGCCTTGGGTGTGGCTCATGTTTTGGGCTTTGGAATGCAATGAACCGCCAGTCTTCATGATTTCAGCCGAGGAGCTTGAGAGTTGCATCTTGCGCCAGGCTTTGGCAAAGCGTTGCTGCTCGGGGCTCAGCGACTGAATCCTCGATTTGACTCGCGAAACCCGGGACCAAATGGGTGTGCCGTTTTTTAGGTTGAACCCCAACAACTCGGCAGTTCCATGGTCTTCCTGTTTGTGTCCCTTTCATATCACCGGACCGACTAAAAAAAAGGCGAGCCACTTCAATTGGTCGAAGTTGCTTTCGGGACTTTGTTCTCTGTTTGTCCCCGGAAGCCCGTCCAAACGGCCCAAGGATTGGAATTGCGGAAGTTCGTTGGTTGCCCTTCGGCGTACGCTGGCCCATGAACAAAGTCACCTTCAATCCGGTGCGTTTCAGGGCACCAATGGAAACCATTTTCTGACTTTGAGATGCATCATGCCCTCAGTTCCCCGAATTTGTTTACGGGCTCCCGGCGCCTACATCTATAGTGGCAAACACAGGTGGCAGCAAGTATTCTCAACTTGTCACGTTCCCCTTCGGGAAAACGTGCTGTCTCAGAAGGTGGACCAAATCCTGCACCATTTGGTAGGTAGCGTATCCCAGTATTTCTAGGGTTTCATCTATCCCAATTGGTGCGAAACGGATTTCGTCCACCCACAGCAGCACCCCTACGAAAAGAAGAAAAGAACCAGGCGCAGTGCACAGGCGCAGCTCACAGGATCGGGCTTTCGGGGTCATGGTGACCTCTCAATGTCCAGTCCTCCACTCCTCCCGGCCTCTCCTGACGAAAACAACAAACAAACCCGACGCAAGATGGGCTTATCTCTACATGTTGGAACCCGCTTTGGGAAGTGGTTTTTCTGGGGTTCCTTTCAAAGGTAAGTGTTCGAAACCTTCCTGTGACTTTGTCCTCCAAAAAGGAAAATGTCCCACTCCTGTCGCACCCCCCAATGGCTGCTTGAAATGGCAACTTAAAACAGCCAGGAGGTGACTTACCCAGTGCTTCCAGGCACACGCCGCTAGTAGGCAACCAGAAAAAAACATCTATGATGTAAGAGCTTGATATGGGCTTGATAAGAACTTGATAAGAGCTGATTTGGGCTCCCTCCCCCCCAGCCCCCATGAAACACACTGGACACCCACCCAAAGTGGGCCCGGGCACCAGTCCGCCCGTTGCGAACCCATTCGAGCGGCGAGTCAATGAACTCCTTTGGGGTTGGAACGGTCTCCAGCAGCAGCGGAATGGCCTGAGAAATCGATCGGCTCGTCGCGCGTCGCCGACGGGTGGTTGCGGCTGGTTGCGGCCCCACTGGGTTATAACCATGTTTATAAGCAGGGTAACTGGGGTTGGTTTCTTACCACCATAGCTATAACCTACTAAGTGGATTAAACATCCAAGTACTTGGATGGTCTGGGACTTACCTAAGTGGATAGCTTTGCCCTAGTTGTAACCCATTTCCCATGGTTGTGAGTCCCCGACAAAAAACACTGGTTGAACCAGGCGCTTCGTCCCTTGCACAAGTTTCCTTGGCCAACATCCAGGCCAGGACGCTGAGAAGGAACTAATATCAGATCAATATACCTGGTCTCTCCATGACCCCATTATTTTGGGAATAAGGCAAAATGATGAAACAAACTGCCTGGAGTCTCCCTCTGACCCGAAATAAAAATGGGTCCATGACCCCATTCTTTTGGGTCATGGCCCCATTTTTTAAGGGTCAGATCCGGAGACTCCAGGAATGGCTTCCCCAAGTCATCTGCCTATGGAGGATAATATCAGGTGGTCCTTTGGTTGGTCTCTTGAAATTCGCTGCTGTGTGGGACTGGCGGTGAATATATTGGTTTCTGCCAGTATTCAGTGGGCTTCATATATCCCGCTGCGAATTGGATTTTGTCCAGTACTGATGGACCAAATTCTATGCGGCTCTTGATTTTGGGCCCGTCCTTTTTTGTAAGCATCAACCTCCATTTGGGTTAAATAACCATGAGACCAAGATGCAAACATGCATTTCGGTCGATTCCCTAGGTTGCAAGTAATGTAGATCTTTGTCCCATTATTCATAGGGTCTTTGGTTCATCACCATCCCGTACACGTTTTGTTCAACATGGATCACCCAATATGGATGATTCCTCTTTGCTTCCCATCAACCCCGCAACGAGTACCAGCTCAAGCCTACCTCATTAAAAAGCTCCGCAACCGCCAAATCATGCTTGATTGTTGATGCATATTCAGTCTGAAATGATAAGGTGGCACAACACGTCGGCATCATACATCATACATCCCAAAACCAAAAGGTTCGCCCATTGACAAACCCCCGAATCCATTGATCAGGAAGTCGTTCTGGCAGAAACAAATCCAGAGCCAACTCTACGAGTGGACGGCTCTATCGAATTGATTTGGTTTGGGATGCATTAAGGCCTGAGATGAGTCTGTAAAGCAGTACCCCCCCCCCCCGCGTATACGTTGTTTCTTTTTCTGCATACGTCCACAATCCATACCTAAGCACATATTCTGGACAACCTCAAGGAAACCAACATGGCGAAGTTGAGCTGATGGTTGCAACCTCACTAAGTAGGTTAAACAAAGAAAGGAATCTACACAAGGCAATGGGTGTGCCTTTTTCTTGGCAGCCCACACAATTGTGTGTTACCCTCTAAAAAACCACCACAAACACGGTACCGACACAAATGTCAAAGACACGCCCAAATCAAGCACCTGTACATACAAAAGTCAAAAAAAATTGACGCGTACGAACTTGTGAAGTGTTTCAGGGCATCAGGTGCATTGACTCGACCAAAGGACCCAATGAAAAGGTTACCCTCCTGATTAAGTCATGGGCCCTTATTAAGCCCTTAATAAGGCCTTATCTAGGGCTTATTTGGGCTCCCTCCCCCTCCCCCTCCCTCCCCCCCAGCCCGCATGATTGAGGGGTCCTGGAAGACTATTTGCCTTTAGAAGGGACCATCTGGTGGGTTCCATGTTAGTGGACAGGAGGCTAACCTGTTGGGACGTGACTAGAACTGGACCAAACTGGGGAAACTAAATTGTCCAAAGGTCAATTCGCTTTGGGAAAGTGAGTTAATCTATAGACAAAAACTGGAATTTGCAGCAGCAACCAAAAAACCTGGCTCGCTCCCGATTCGCCACAAAATGTCCTAACTGTTTGTAAAGGCCACTAAGATGGTCCAGCCCCAACAAATGTCTCTAGTGCAGGAACTCAGGCAGTAAGATGGCAAAGTTGCGGCCAAGAGAATGTTGCTGGGATGTCATTGTTTCCTGCGGATGGACTAAAGCTAGGGATGGATGAAACCAGTTTAACAGTGGGATAAACCACTTATCAACTGGTGCGAATTGGATTTGGTCCCATCCACATTCTTTGCAACGTAGGGAATCATGTCTGCACCCAGCCTCATGACTGTTGGGGCATACCCAAAGGGTGATTGCTTACAACAAATCAATGGACCACCCAAAACCAACACCACTGGAGGTCGCAGGTAAAATCTTTGGAGGCGCGCGCTCTGCTTTGCTCCGCAAAGGACAAGGGGGGTGAAAGGAAACCACTAAACCTGGACCCTCAAACCTTAGTTTCAACAATACACCATGCTTATCGGTAGTCTGAGGGTCATGGTACTTTCAACTGACTTCCCGACTGGCCAAAACGAGTCGCAAGGCCAAGCATTTCCACACTACTTGCTTGCCACCGTATCAAAGTTCAGCACCTGTTATGTGTGTGTGGCCACAGCAACTAGGTGACGCAAGCTGGCTCCGGCAGGGGTTGCATGGACATCTCCCAGTTGCCCGTTTGCGATCCATTGTTCTGGGGTAAACAAGGCACCCGCACACTCCAACTACCCATAAGTACTATCGATATGGCGACCCAGAATAATAGTTGGCGTTTTTCCTTCAACAAAAGATAGTTTGAGGGTCCAGGTATCGACTTTACCGTCACAAAAAGGGAAACCACTCCTTTATTTTGGGCCATGTCCCATTTTGATAGATAGTTCGGGGGTCCAGGTTCCCCCTATTTTGAGAGTTTCCCCCTAATGGTGCATAATCCTGGTTTTCTCGGAGACTTGCAACCATGGTAAATGGGTTACAGCTTACAATTGGAGTAAAGCCAGCCACTTAGCGTTTCGTCCCAGGCCATCTAAGTAACTTGATTATTTCACAATAATATGTTTTATTTGTGTTGAACGGGTTGTGGGTTTACCCTTACAAAAATGGAGACCACCTCGTTAGTCTGGGGCCATATCGACCATTTTCACGGGTAGTTTGAGGGTTTGCGTGTTCACCTTTGCCATCCATCTCCGCTCCCCTTCGAAACCTGCATTTGCTTTTTCGTCCCCTGGGAAAAAAAAAAAACATGTCTCCAGTAGTGATAGGTGTTCTTTAAAACCCACGGGGGAAAAAATGGGTGTGGGTCAAAAATAGGTACACAAAATGGAACCCTGGTAATTAAATGGAACCAAGGACTAAAAGCTGCGGTCCCTGGTGGTTTAATTTTGACCCAGACCCAAATATTCATTTCAGCACATGGAATGAACGCTTCGCCAGGCGGCCAAGTCATCCTTGTTCTGAATGATCAAAGCCGCCGTTGGCTCGAAGCGATCCTCGGAGAGAGTTCTTCAGAAATCAGCGTAGATCCTAAGCTATGGGGGTTTCTGTCCACCAACCACTTTCCAGGGGGGTCCTTATTTAAATTCATAGCCATCTGGGAACAGGGGAGGTGCTGGGCATGTTCTTCAACAGAAAAACACACGTCGCAAGCAAAACTAGGTACTGGAGTGGACTCTACCCAAAAACATGTTAAGGCCCCCCCCAAAAGGCCACCTCCCCCAATCCCAGCGGCCAATAGCCCGGGCCTCTTGAGAGATTCCACGCTGCCTTTGACAATCATAGGATGTTAAGAATCCCGAGGGCTTGCCGCACCTGATCACGGCGAGGGACTGTGACCATCTTCATCGGTGTTCATTATTTGAACAAACAACACGCCCATAGTAGCGTTGCTTAAGACTTTCTCTTTCCTCCGAGCCCCCCAAAAACTCGGTTGCTTTCTGCTCCCCTGCTAAAAGTTTAACTTTTAGCGGTTTGATGGAAAACCCATTCATTGGCAAAAAGTTAAAGTCCTAACAGCCAAGCAAAATGCGCCAAAGAAAAGGTGACTGTACAAAGACAACCCTCAGCGTCGACCTGCGCGGCGCGCGTCTTTTAACGCTCTCCGCAAGTTTCCGCCCTCTTCCTCCACGTGCGGAGTGGCAGAGAATTTGGCGGGGCGGAAAAGGCAGGGTGTAAAGCCGATCTGAGCGCCCAACAGCCTGAGGTTTGATTCCAAGACAGGGCTCTTGCAATCATGTAAAGGAACTTATCTAAAAGTGGTTCAAACGGTGATATGGGCTTGGATCAATAATAAACCATTAATAGACCGCTGGCTTTTGTCCTTGCTTCCATTTACAGGGTTCCATTTTGGGTGCCTATTGTTGACCCGCACCCAGGGCTAGAAAGCGAAATGCGTAGGGACCCCGGCAAAACCCAGACCATCCAGTGACTCGGTAGGGCCAAGCTGGAGTTGTGGGAGCTGGATCGACACCGGCTCAAGCAGCCCGATGAAACAAGTGGGCCACTGTGGCCCAACCAAAACTGCGTCTGGCCACAGCAGGTCTCAAGCACTCACTTCCTGACTAGATTCATGCAAAAAGAGTCCAAACCTGTTCTTTGCCAAGAGAATCAAGGAACTCGGGAAGTGAAAAGCAGCAAGTTGCCACAAAATCGGCGGTGTCCAAGCGCTCGGCGCTCGCGGCAGAAAGCCCAAGAACATGCTTGCTGAACTGCGGCCGCTGCTTTGGATTTCGGGGCGTGAATTTCAATTGGGGACTCTTTGATGGACATCAAAATGAGGTGGGGATTGATGTCCACCAACCACTTTGAGAAGGTCGCCCATTGAAATTCATGTCCAGACATGCCACACGGCAATCATCGCGTGGGTGTATCCTTCCAGCTTGACACCAGCTGCATCCAGCTGCGCCGTGCTCAGAGCTCCTTACTTGCACAGTGGTTGTGTATTCATGGGCAACACAACAAGAACTCTCCTCTGGTTGCGGGTTCGTTGGTGTTCTAGGGAAACTCACCAAACATAAAAGCAAGGCAATCGTGAATCAATCAATCGATCAATCAATCAATCAATCAATCAATCAACCAACCAACCAACCAATCAATCAATCAATCAATCAATCACTCAATCAATCAATCAATCAATCAATCAATCAATCAAATCAATCAAATCAATCAAATCAACCAAATCAACCAAATCAATCAAATAAAACCAAATAAATAAATAAATTAATTAATCAATCAATCAATCAATCAAATCAAATGAAATGAAATGAAATGAAATGAAATGAAATGAAATCAAATCAAATCAAATCAATTAATCAATCAATCAATCAATCAATCAATCAATCAATCAATCAATCAATCAATCAATCAATCAATCAATCAATCAATCAATCAATCAATCAATCAACGAGTCAACCACAACAAACACGCACAAAGCAATGAAATCAACAAAATAAACAAGGAACGACAGAATAATTCATGAAACACATACAAAGAGAGGAATCAACTGATACTGACACATGGGTATGTTCCCTTGAAACCCGTCAGATATTTGTATTTACGCATGTGTACATGTCTTGACAATTGTGTATGTGTCCAACCAGGGCTCAGCTCTGGCCGTCTGCTTCCGAATGAAGCCCATGGTGTCCAGCACCAACCTCGCCGCCAACATCGCAGTGACCTCTCAGGGTGAACCAGTCGGGTCAGCATGGCTTGGTCACCCGTCCCAAAGGTGTCGTTGGCCGGGGCCTCTAGCGGGTCTGAGGGTGCTTGTTTTTGTGTTGTTATAGGGAAACCAAGAGGAACACCACCATTTGGGGGTCCCATGGGTCAACCTGGGGCTTTGTGGCTATTGCCTCCCCACAAACTTGAAGACTATTTCAGGGAAGTAAACTTTTCACGGTTTTCAACCGAAACAGATCCAACACCAGCCAAGTAAAGGCAAGCTCTCTCCAAGCAAGGTATCAACCAGAAAAAACAAATCCCCCAGACAGGGAACCCCACTTTTGGAGTACCCCAAGACAGACTTCAACCCACACTGTTTCTCATTTGCCCCCAAAAGGAGAACCTTTGAGTTTAAGATTTTTATGTTTAAAATCCAACATTGAAGAGGTTCTTTGTCTTCTTTGTCTTTCAACCGGACGGCTGCGAAACGCCAAGTTCTGGGCGATGTTCAAACGACTCACGGCCTGCGCGGGATCATAGGGCGGGGACACCTCCACCAGGTCAAGACCCACGATCCGCGCGCGCTGGGTGATTGCACGCAGCAAGTCCTAGACACGAGGGCCACTGCACTTGGGATAACCCACCTTGGATGCCCAATCAACTTAATAGGATACAACCATGGTTATAACTTGCGTAATTGGGTTGGTCCCCTTGTAACCATGGTTATAACCCACTTACTACGTTGGTTGAACATCCAAGACGCCAACTCACTTGCACGACACACATTTGCGGCCTTATGCAGCTACATGATTGCCTTACGCGGGGGGGGGGAGGGCGGTCTTTAAACTACCATCCCTTGAATTGCAATGAGCGGTTTTGAGCCCTGCTACCAAGGCAAAAAGAGCGAACTCGTAAGAACCAGCTCTGTGAGGTTTGGTTGTTGTTCGGGTCAAAACCAACAGGATACCACCCATCCACCCAACCTCTAAACCAACTCAAACCCCCCCAAAAAAAACAGGAACTGGACGGCGTTCCCACCAAGCTAAGGAAACCATCCGGTACTAAAACTCGGTTGCTTTCTGCTCCTCTGCTAAAAGTTTCACTTTTAGCACCAAGCTACGGAAACCCCGGTAATGTTGACCCAGGATTGATAAACCCGTCCCATTATTAGGGGGGTGTTCCCTCCAAAAGTGGTCCGAACCCCCACTAAAAGGGCACACCCCCCAATCAAAATCAATGTCAACCAGGGGTTTTTGCATTACCAAAACCGCCCGGTCCTTGACCTCGTAGTAGAGGAAGCCTCCGTGGCTGGGCGTGCCCGTGCCCGGCGCGATGGAGGGGTCCAGGCCGTCGATGTCGATGCTGAAGTACACCGCGCTGCCGCGCGGCACCAGCCTGAGACGGCGCAGTATACTCAGGATGGGTTGATTCCAAGAAAGGGATCCACCAGTCGGATGGTTTTCGTTTGGTTCATATTTCTAGGGTTTGATTCCTTGTCCAGTCTTTTCAACCATCGTTCTTCTCAAAACCCGGATCCGTTTCCCCTGGGTTCTTGATGGTCTCCTGAAAGATTCGGATCCCTGGGTTAAGAATGGAAATGTAAGGTACCTCAGTTGTTCAGTGATTCGGATCCCTGGAAAGAATGGTTGGAGGCTTCAACTAGAAGCTTGAACACCCCTACAAGCTGCGTCGTTGAGACTTGGCTATGTCTCTGATTCCATTGCTTGCACTAAGATGTTCAGCGACCCTGGAAAAAAGGGAACCCTTTTTGCGGAAGACCATCTTTAGTGGGGCAGCCACCCAAAAAAAAAGGGGAAACTAATTGGTGCCACGGAAACGGGTTGCCCCACCCATGAGAGCTAAGCAACGCTGATCAAATTCCTGCGGCCCTCACACAGCCAGGTCTTGAGACCCCAAAACACCGGGGTGTCCAATGGAGGGTCTGGGTCTGCCATTGGAAGCCGAAGCCAGGAGCGTCTGGGCAAAAAGAGACCCGGGCCCGAAAAAGAGACCCAAATTAGAGCTTCCGGTTGCCGCTATAATGACTATATAAGAGTTTCTTAGCTTCAGGTTTTACATGATGCTTTCTCCTTGTGTGCAACGGTGGTATACCACTGGAAGCACAAGGCTAGGAATTGTTTGCCAAGGTGAGCTGAGCATGTTTGTCGCCTGGCAAACATGGCGAATTTGGAACCAGCTTCCCTCTAATTGGTGGTTTAGATAGGTGGTTTGGCGGCTAAGGAGGGGTTCTGCACGAACCAGGGGTTCAACTCCCTATCCACATCACCAATCCAAACCACCGACTAAGGGTCACGTGAAAGATACCGGGACCCTCAAACTAAACAAGGAAAACCACCAAGCATTGTTTTAGGCTGCAATACCAACCAGAGTTTGAGGGTCAAGGCACCTGGAAATTTAGAACTCAGAAACGAATACTTATATTGGCAGACAATTGGTATAATGATTTAGCCTCTTATATCATCATCATCCAGCAAGGCCTCCCTCCAAACTGATGAGGCCTTTGGGTATGTCTTAAACATTGGAATGTAGCCTGCCGAAAATCGTGGCTTCCCTCGACACTAACCTGAAAAAAATACCTTCAAAAAGGCACATACCCATTTGGCTTCAGGTTGCCTTAAGACTTATTAACCCCTAACCCTTCAAAAGTCTTTCGGGAGGAGGTGGATCGGTCCTTGAAGAATCCTGCTCAGTGACCCCTTTCGACATCAGACGGCACCAAGGCTACTGGTTGTCCAAACTCAGCAAGGCTTGAGTGACCTTGCTTACAAATGAAACAGCAGGGTCTGGTTGGTTTATTGCCACGACTTTACGTACCCCACCGAGTAGTTGATGCGCATCCAAGCACGGTGGTTCAGAAAGCCAGAGTACGCAACCCCAGACCTGCAGTAAACGGCTTCCCCACCCCCGCACCACTCCCCTCCCACACAAAACAATATGGTTTGCTGCGAGGGAACCATCCCGTAACAAGAGAAGAAGTTTCCCGAAAGGAGCGGTACACTTCGGTGTGTTACTTGGTCAGAGCAACAGCAACCGTGTGTTCATTGTTCAACCCTAAGCGTGCGAATTATGTGCTTTCTTTCTGCTATCATAAGTTGAGTAGAGGGCAAACACATCCTTCTGTTGCTTGAGTCCCCTGGAAGAAATACAAAGAATGATTCCCTTAAAAACCAAGAGAGGTAACAACAAATATATTCCTGAAGCAATTGGAAGATATAGATTGAGATTACACGCTGCCACATAATTTTGGACGGTGCCCATTATTCCTCCTTTTGAGGGGTCGCAAAAAGGCAAACATGAAAACACACATCTCCTTTAGTACCCGGGCTCCCTATATATCTTCCTTTCACATCACCACGGCAGGGAGGAAACTCCGTACGCTAAGGCAAACAAATCCGAGATGCGGTGGACTCCCTTTCACCTGGCTGTGGGTCAAAAATAGGTACCCAAAATGGGTGGCCCTGGTAAATGGACACATAGAATCTGCGGTCCAATTCCTGGTGTTTTTAATTTTGACCCATGCCCACCTGAAGGGAAGCTATAAAATTAAAGCACAAAAGACCTGAAAAGGAAACCCCAACAAGCCGCCGGAATCCCAGGAACGCAGGCCCCAACACAAACGCTTTCAACATCCTCAACCCCCAAAAACCCTTTCAACCAAACACCCCGCACGGACCCCTTGTCGTCTGACTTGAACCCACAGGAAAAAAACAGTAACCCACAAAAGACAAAAAACACACAACCTAGACTCTCCATGACCAGTAGAAAACGGGTCCATGACCCTATTATTTTGGGTAGTGACCCTATTTTTAAAGGGTCATGCAGACTCCGGGAAGGTACAAGGGCAGCAAAACGGGACGTCCATACCGGGTCCAGGATGCCAAATCACCACGTTTCGAGGCCCGCCCACGACGTCCGAGTGGCTCCGCCACCTGCTGAATCCCCATCTGCCTCACCTGCCGCACGCTCAAAATGCCTCGGGCGGTGCAAAAGCAGGGATCCTTGCATTATACACCTGAACATTGCCTTGTAAATGGAGGTTTCACTTTATTTTGGTGCAAAAAGCCATGATTCAAATGGGCAAAATGTATCTTTTAAGGAGCCCTGAAAAGCTAAAGCTTTGGGTCTGGTCGTGCCATTCGCTTTGCCAAGCTTAGCCCTAGGCCCACCTAAGTACATGCAAAGCCAAGCTTGGTCTACCCTATATAATTGTTTCATCTATTCATATTTTGTTTTAGTCTAACCGGAAATATGCAATGCTCAGGAAAAGACCCCAGAAAACATTGTTGTCTGAAAACATCAAGCGATGGTCAAACGCCCTCTAATTGGTGGTTTGGAATGGTGGTTGAAAAGTTAAAGGGTCCCGTTTGTCCTATAGAACAAGGGGTTCAAATCCGAATCCAACATAACAATCCAAACCACCCATCAAGCCTTACCTGAAATTACTCCAGAGGGTCTCTTGGTACAGTCTTATGGTGAACCCCCTCCAAATAAGAAATCCAAACAACCGGGAATCTTCGTGCGTGACATCAGCCGATTAATCAAAACCCGAAATCCCGAGGTCGATTGCGTCACCCGAACGGACCAAGGTAACCAAATCTGAGAACATCGACGAATGCCCCATTCCCTGAACCATTTGGAGCAGCCTAATTCGAATCACAACAAACACAGGAGACACATGTTGGGCCGGTTAACTCCAATCTCTATGTGCATGTGTCTTTCTTCCGGAATCGGACCCCCCCAAAAAGGTGGTGTTCATCTTGGTTTCACTTTGCGATCATCAGAGTGGGTACCGAGCCTCAAAAAAAGAGAAGCCAGCCAAAGCAGGCCTACCAACTCAAAAAGCCACATCTCTGTAGAGTCTCCACTCACAAATGTTCGAACCACGCTGTTTGTGTCATGTCTCACCGGGAGTCATCTGATTGATTCGATCCGTTTCCAAACGAAAACACAAAAAAAGTTGGCGTCTTCGCGGAAAGAAATGTTGGACGTCTGTTCAGTGGAGGTCGCCTTGTCTTTGACAAGAAAAATGGTAGGCGTCTTCCCCAACAAACACAGTGGTTGGTTCCTACTAGTCAAAGATACAAAAGGGATATGCCATCGACTCATGATCAAATCGCTCTTGAAAAGTTGGATGCTGCTCGAGTTGTGGGTTCAATAAAACGGCTTAATTATTGCACGTGTAAGACACATACGTTCCCCACCACTTCTCTGACGTTATCGTTTTTTCATCCTTGACGTGGGGTTTTGGGACACCTCGCGAAAAGCTCCACCCTGACTAAACTGCAATTGGGGGGTTTGCTGTACAATCCCACTGTTTGTGGGTTCAATGGAACACCCACTGTTTCAACCAAACCTACCCATATAGCAGGTAATCCTTCGCTATGTTCTTGTTGGGTGGCAAGCCCCCTTGGTTACCAAAACCAGGCAAATGGATCCACTGGGATGGTCTTTGTGTGCCCAACTGGCACTGGATTGGGCCAATTCGGCGAGTGCGCGGCATCCACTTACCTTAAATCACGGTGAATATCGAGCGTGGATGACAATCGGACCATTGGTAGAAAGTTAAGCAAATACCTATATGTCTCCTAAGCGGGATTCGCATTGTTACGGGGGTGATAGCAAACACGTGGGTCCGGGAAACAACCGGGGGGGACAACATATACTTGAAGCAAGTCTAGGTCCTCCAGTAGACAGGTTAGAATAAGGCTACCAACTTTTTTTTGTAGTCTATTTCAGTAGGGGAACCCTCCCAACAAACAAAGTTGGCGAGAACGGGCACCTAGCTGGGGGACCTAGTATGTTTGGGCAATAACCTCATTTGAAGGGAAGTTCGAAGGGCCGAGGTTGGATGACTTAGTTTGGTCTTGAAGTACCTGGAGTCTCCTTCTGACCCTTAAAAAATGGTGGGTCATTACCCAAAATAATGGTTGGTCATTGACCTAGAAGTGGAATCGCTGAGTTTCTCCTGGAAGAAACCTGGTTACCTACAAAAGTAGCTTGCCTGGAAGCACTGGGCAGGGTATCCCCCAAAATGGCTTCGCTGCTTCTCTTTGCCTTTCTTGGTTGCTGTTGACCCCCTTGCCAAAAGTTGACAACTTTTTGGGGGTTTAGTGGGAAACCCAACTTGATTTCCCAAAAGGTTAGAGTCTAAAGACCCAACCCAATAGCAAGACAAGAATGAAATGCCTCCTGTTGGCAGAACATCCTTTGGGTTTAGGCTGTAGACAAGCTTTTAGTGGGAAACCCAACTTTATTTCCCAAAAGGTTAGAGTCTAAAGATCTAGCCCAATAGCAGTCAAGAACAACTTGGCTTCACGAGAACCTGGCTTTAAGCCAAGACATGGACGCCCCGGCCGCACGCCCCTTTCCGCCGCATCGCGGAGTTCGCACGCCCAGGCGCTGGAGCCCATGGCGCGCGCCTCCTCAAAGCCCACCTTGGCGGTGGAGGACACCGAGCGGATGCCCAGCTGCAGCATGGACCCCACCTGCGGCCTCAGAGAGACATGTCGCACCAGCCCAGATTTGGGGCAGAGCCAGAGCTGAGTTGGTCCTTACCTCTGTGGATGGACGAAACCCATTTCGCACCACTTTGAAACCATGGGACACCATCATGTTTGTTGGTATTTACAGGGGAATCGGATCATTTCAAGGTTTCTTCGGTGGTGCGAAATGGATTTCGTCAGTATTTCCGTCGACTCTTTGGGAAGACTCAGACGAAACCTTCAAGGGTTCAAAGCACTTCTTCAGGTACCAAGGGACCCTGCAGAACCCAACGGGCACTTTTACCCTTCCCAGGAACAAGGTGGCTGTAACCTGCGTACTAGACCAAGTAACCATCTAAGAGACGCTCGATTTTGAATCCCCCTTTGGGTAAGATTGGAACCATTCATAGGATCCAAGTCGGTTGAAGATCTGGGAGACGCTCCATGTTGAATCCCGTTTAGGGTATCGGAAACCATAAGAATCGGATCCCGAACCACGCCAAGACTCTCCAAAAAAGACCACTGCCCAAACCCGGAGTGGGCAAGGGCAAGCCAAAGACAACCGGGCCGCCCCACCCACCCACCCACCCCACCTAGCCACCCCATCCCCCCACCCACCCGCTCTTTCTTGGTCCTTGGTCGAGGTCTGGGACCGAACTTGGAACAACATGAAGCTCCCTGAGATCGGCTGAGCGTCAATTCCAGGCAACGTCTCATGGCATTGCCATGGCCGTAGCGCACCCCGTGACGTTCATCCACGAAGTCCAGGTGGGCATCGATCTGCACCAAGACCTTTTTTGTCGCGCTCGTACAATCTCTAGGTCCTCTAGTAAAGAGGTTAGAACAAGGGTACCATCTTTTTTCTGTAGTCTATTTCAGTAGCGGAACCCTCCCCAAAAACAGGGTGAGAAAGGGCATTACTAGGGGACCTGGATCTGCTCAAGGAGGCGATCGGCTACTTAGGGGGATGTAAGAAGAACCTTGCCACAACCAATTCGCCGCAGGTACTAGTTTCCGAAGTGGGTCACAACCAAAGCAAGTACTATAAGTGGCTAGGTGTTTATGGGTGTGGGGTAATACCAATCCAATGTCATGTTCATAATAGCGCGAAGAAATCGCGTCTGAGCACCCAAGGGAAGTGGTGTGTGGTGTGTTTTGTTTGGCCCTGATCGAGGCAAGTCCCCCAAATATATACGGCTGAAGCGCCATACTCCCATTGGTTAGTACATTGGACATCCTGCGTTCCTCTTCGGGGGCACACAGTTGTTTCTCTTGAACCACGAAGAACACAACACTGTGAGCAGCACAAACACAACATACAAATACACCAGAAACAAACCCAGAAAAACGCTTGTGGAAAAAAAAAAGCCCAGAAACAAACCCAGAAGAAAAAAACAAATACACCAAGAACATGTCTGAAGCTACGAATCCCAAACATACTATTGCGAACAAACCCAGAAACAATCCGCAAGTCATCCAGCGGCAAAACCATCAGACCCTACGGCCTCCTCACGGGGGGGGGGAAACCAAACCTATGAATAACATGACGGGCAATCTACACCTGACGCCCGGTCCAGCGTTAATGTTAACCCCGGATTAATAAACTCCTGGTTGATTAATAGGGGGGGTGTTCCCTTTTAGTGGGGATTCAGACCACTTTTGGAGGGAACACCCGCCTAATAATGGGACGGGTTTATTAATCCTGGGTCAACATTATGACCCAAACCCGCACACTCGCACCCACACACAACCCACACGCAGAATCACATTCGAGCTTCCTCTTTTGTCAAGTCATGTTTCGCGCCAGGGCGCCACAGGTTGCCCGAGCACTTGCAGCGCTTGGCATATTGCGGCGGTAATGGCGTGGTCGCCGCCCAAAATCACAGGCGCCACGTTCTGGCGCAAGATCTCCTAGACTGGGGGCTCCTCAACACAGGGAACCTCTTTGCCTTGGCGAATCTACCTGAGTAGCGCGTCTTTGTTTGAGTTGGAGGAGTTGTTTTCTGGTCTTTAAGGAATACAAAAGGGCAACCGAAGCCATTTTGGGGATCCAAACATCAACAAAAAAAACATGTGGGGTACACAGAAGCCCGGAAGGCGAGGCCTTGATAAGGCCCGATTTGTACTTGGCGCACACAAAGGGGCACAGAGAAACTAACATGTTCAGATCCTGTTTGCTATTTAGTCCTACCCTAAAATATGGCACACATTTGGGAGAAGCCGGAGACCCCAGAAAACGACTAAACTGGGTATGTCTCAAAAGCGTCAAAAGAGGCTTGACCCCCGCAAATCAGTGGTTTCCTTCTGGTTGCCCCTGAAACCAAGCCCAAAAGACGGTACCCTCACAAAAGCTGCGAAGATTCTAATCGGTCCTGGATCCTTTGGTCACCATGTAGGTTGGGACTTCCAGCAAGCACCTTTAAGGTGGCTAGTAAGTCGGGATCGCCACTTGTGGTATAACCCAACAAGGCAACAAGGCTAACCCCAAAATCAAGGGATCCTTATAAGTGGCTTAAGACGCTTAAAAACCTATACTAACTTACTAACAACAACTTAAAACCTTACCAACTTACAACCTTATCGGCAGCTACCATCAACTCAGTACTCACTTGCCCAAAGGGCCGGCAAATAAAAGGTAACCCTCTTGTGGGATCACCACTAAACTTTTAAACAGGGACCAAGAGGGAAAACCAAAAGGTCGAAAGGTCGATTCGCTTTGAGCAACTGAGAGTAACTTGGCGAAACGAAGGCCCCGAGTATGAACGTCCCCCCACAAATTCTAGAACATGCTCAAAGCTTGAATTCAGGGATCCCCAAGCAAAGAATCATGGGGAGCTCGTTTTGATCTCCCAGGTATCTGGAGTCTCCATGACCCTTAAAATATGGGGTCATTACCCAAAATAATGGTTGGTCATCGACCCATTTTTAAAGGGTCAGAGGGAGACTCCAGGTACAGGATTTCGTCCATACAGAGCAGTGCCACCCCTGATTGCTCAAGGCACAGCGGATGTGGGTTAAATGGAAACTACCACTAACGCCAAGGTGGATGAAAATCCACCACCAGGAACGGACAACAACTCACTCGCCAAGGTCCTCCACTGCGGCTCGGGTTCGATTCAGCGAGGCGGCTTGGTCCGTGTGGACCACGTCTACGTCGCCCACATCCACCTGAGGTCTCAAGGGCCTGCAAAAATGTGGGACAGCAGAATGGTCTTGAAAAGAATATCCTAGGGGTTGGTTCCATGCTTTCCCCCCGGGTTTCCGGAGGCCCTTCCTGAAAAAAAGAGGATCCTGGAAAGAATGGGGAAGGTACCCCTAGAACTATGGGATGGTATGGCTGTGTCTTTTTCAGGGTACGACTGCAAAAGGGGTGGGTTTTCCTCTTGGCTTCCCTTCAAAACCCACAAAAAGGAGCTACCCTCAGACTCGGAAGGGAAGCCATTGCAGCCGAAGAACGTGGCTACGAGTGACGACTAGTGTCTAACACTGGTCATTGGGCAGGGTGACTTTTAGGGCCACCGCCAAGAAAATTTGGGTTGTCTTTTTGGTGTCCCGCTAAACCACCAAAAAGGGGTTCTCTCAAAAAGGACACACCCAAGGAATATTCAGCACCATTAATGGCCACAACCCCGCCTGTTTTAGTACTAAAATCAACATTGGAAAAACAATTCAGACTTGGCCATCACATAAGCTAACATGTTGCTGGCTACCAGGAACTTCCGGAGCAAATCGTCTGACTTGGCATGAAGCACCATGTAGCTTATCCAAGCCTATCGCAAGAAATCTCAAGCTTCTGACCAATGCAACCCGATGGTTTAAGGTAGGCAGGTTTCTTTCTGGCACTCCGCACTCCCCGAATGAACTAAAGGAACCCACCAATCCAGCCTTGACTCGGAATCCCCCATTCTTATGAGTCGGGATCCCCGAGAAAAGGTGTGCCACGATCGCCCAATGAGTCGAATCCCCAAAAAGGGGGTGCCCCCCCATTTTCTCATGAGTCGGATCCCCCATTTTCATGAGCCACGTGAGGAAAAAAAGAAACAGGAGGTGCCCAGCAACTTCAGTGCTTCCGGTCACTTGGTCTGATTCCGGTCCCACATCTCACCCAGGGACCACCCTCAAGCATATACTGTGGATGGTTGCGAAATCCGGAAATCGCACCACTGTGAAACCATGTGAAACCATAACGTTTGTTGGTATCTACACGGGAGTCATCCCCCCAGGGTTTCCGAAGTGGTGCAGGATTTTGTCCATCCACAGTATGGGTGAACCAGCAAACCCTGGGTGTCCCTGGGTTTGATTCCTGTTCCAGACACCCACATGACACCCAGGGACCCATTTCACCCAGGGTTGGTTCATATGGGGTCAACACAGTAGGTATCCAGGGGAAATCATTGTTGTTTGACACACAAGGCATGGCATACTTCCCTATGCCTTCTTTGGCTTACACGGCTTTGCCAGCTTTTGGCTGACCTTGCCTCTGCCAAACTTGACCGCCTGGGGGAAACCATAAATGATGTAAAATTCCTAGAGCTAGCGAGTCATACCGATTGGTTGCCTACTATAGTGGCGAAACGCCTGGAAGCACTGGGTTTGCTCAGTGAACCAACATTTCCCGAAACAGGAACAAGAAGATAGGAGCTTGAGTCAAACTGTTGGGAAACAATGGTGTCTGCCAGCAGTTTAAGGATCAATATAGTTGTTTATGGCCTAGTGGGGCAACAAACATGTGTTTCCAAAGGCATACGTCTTAAGAGTTGAACGTGTTGCGAGTTGGTGGTGAAATCAACGTGTTTCAATGACTTAGAGGACGGGTTGACTTTATTGAGGGAACAACATGTGCAACCAAGGAGAGTTTGAGATAAGTGTGGCGAATTGCCATACCGTTTCACCCCGGACTAATAAATCCCTGTTCATCCATAGGGGGGTGTCCCTGGTTCAGCGGGGATTCATTACTTTTGGAGGGATACACCCCCGTATTTGTAGGATGGGCTTATTAATCTGGGGTCAAAATCAATTCAAACACCAGGCGTACGGGGATCCCCCAGTAAGTGGGAAATAATAGAAAACCTGAAAGGCGACAAGCCAAAGAGGGAAGCTAAGTCTGGCAATGACAGGGGTAATTCGGTCAAAAAGACAGGCCACAACGGTGCCATAGCTGTAGGTTTCCTCGGTGTCTGCGTCATAGACCTCTGAGTGGCCAAATTGATACCTGGGGCATCGACATCCAAACGAAACACGGAAGCGCGGTAGATAGTGAGTCCGGGAGGAAGCCAAAGGCCCCCCGAGTGAAGCTTCTTAGACCCTTCTTGGAAGTTCTGATCGAATTCTGAGAGCCTTTCTGGCAGCGGGAACCAGGCAGGATCAGGGTGGAACAATTCATCAGGTAGGTGGAACCATTCATGAAGCGACGGGAAACATAGAAGGTGCAGACGGTGGAAGTCTTACCTGGTGAATGGATTGGTAAGAAAAGTAATCAAAGCTTTCCCTACGGCCCTAGGCTGTCTTGTCCCCGGTTAATAGAATGCCAAAGACCCAATTTGGATAATTTGGATGATGAGTTACTCCTGAACGGTAAATGCCGGAGGTTATATCAACACAACCCTTGCTTTAGCTGGTGGTAACTTAACCCCAAACTTGTTATTGCAAGTGCACACATCCTCCCCCCAAAAAATATATATTTCCAGTGATAGATTCCCTTTTAAATCGGGGGAAATTATACATAGTCCGAAGCAAATGGTAGATTGGTTCTGGTTGAAATGGCTCTGTGTTAAAGTACAAACCTTGAAACCTGTCCAACTGAGACTTACTGGACCTTAGGCTTGCTCTGGGAAACCCAAAGGGATCCAAAACGAAAAGTTTGCCAACCTGAATCCTTCCCTAAAACTCTCACTTCCGAACGAGTGGATTGGCGGAAAACGTAACCACACATTTTGCTTGCCACTATCAAATCCAGGTGTCTTGCCAAAAAGTATGAAGGTAAATACAGGAAACCACGAAGGCGACTGCTATCGTGACCCAGACAGACCCGCCAGTTGCCAGTGACTTTGGCAGAAAACGGTGCGCAAACTCGGTTGCCTCCTGCTCCCCTGCTAAAAGTTTGACTTTTAGTGGTTTAATGGAAAACCCAGTAGTTGGCAAAAAGTTAAAGGCCTAACATCCAGGCAAATGGAACGCTGGAAACAGCATTGGGTCACCCTCATCCCTCATCCAATGTTCAGCCGCCAGAGTTAGAAAGTTCACCTTCTAGAACCTTGACTCAAACTGAACCTTTGGGCAAGTATTTAAGCGTTCCATGCGTCAAAATAAGGGGGGTGAACATAGGTGTCCGTTTTGGGAAAATAGATGGCCCTGGTGGTTGATTGAACCAGGTAAACCAGGGCGCTCTATTTTTCCAACCCACTTTGAACCATTGCTTGCTGGTATTTAATTACAAGGGAAATCATGATTCCAGTGTTTCTCAGGTGGTGCGGGATTTCGTCCATCCACAGTATGGTGGTGTTCATGCTGGTTTCCCTCTAAACCAACCAAAAGAAGGGTCCCCAAAACACAGACAGCCCCATTTGGGCCCGACGTTCTGGTTCTATTTCGGCTTAGGCGCGAAACCAGACACTGACGCGATCGCGCAGGTGGCGTGAACTGGTGGCTTGCGGCGTGTCGATTCCGAGGCGCAGCGTGGAGGCCTCGCGGATTCCTCGCGGGCCCATCCGCGCTCCGGAGCGGTACTGGGTGCCCATGTCGTTGGGCACCCCCAGCACCGCAAAGTCGGTGCCAGCCGTCCTGACTTGGTTGACGTTGGAAGGGAGCAAAACATTGAATTTTAGCAGTTAAGTGGGGATTTGCCACTAAACCACAATAAGCAAAAATGTAAAATGTTTCCCAACGACAACCCAGCAACGCCCCCAGGGCGGGGGAAGGGCAATCCGACTGGAGGTGTTTTCTGGATGGAGGAAATCCATAAAACGCACCACCCAAGAAACCCGGAAATGATCCGATTCCCTTGTAAATACCAACAAACAATGGTTTCCCATGGTTTCAATTTGGTGCAGGATTTTGTCCATCCACAGGATGTAGGCAAAATATACCCTATGTATATAATGTATATTTTACCCACATGGATTGGCATGTAGGTTCTAATATATACCCTCATCCCTCCAAATGGGCCAAATGTATATACCCACATGGATTGTCTGGGTGTGTGTGGCTGGCATCGTTGAAGGGAAACCACAAGGAAAACTGAGACCTGGACCCTCAAACCACCAATTGTTTAAAGGGCAACCACCAACTATACTAAAAACACACACACACACACCGATATTTTCCTATACCCTCCCTCAAACCATCGAAGCTGACGATCGGAGTTGGGAAATCTACCTATCCACTTCCATGATTGTTGCAGAGAGAGCATGTCCCCTTTAGACATCATCCCAAAGGAAAGCTCAGTAGGTAGGGAACAACCCCAGCTTCTATCACGGACACCGGGAAATTCTGCAGGAAGTAGGCCAAACCACGATGCAAACCAACGGGCTGGGCGGTTGATGCCTGTGGAATTCTCTAGAGGTGGTTTCTTAGATTCCAGGGCTAACTCGTCCACCCATTCTTTCCACAGTTCCAAGTCATAGGTCCCAGAAATTGCCTTGGTACCTAAGGAGCTACTGAACGACCCGCGTTTATCCCCCAGCCATCCTCAGGTTGCACCTTCCGGGGTTGGATCTCACCAGTGACCCTAAGAAAGCCGGCCAAGCAAGGCCAGTCGAGGCGCTCGGACACTCTGCAGGGAAAAAAAAACAACTAGTCTGACCGTACCTTCCCTGTGGATGGTTGAAATCGAAATCCATAAAACCCACCATCTAAGAAACCCTTGAATCATGATTTCCCTGCCGAAAACAATGGGACATCCCGTGGTTTCTTAGGTGGTGCGAAATGGATTTCGTCCATGCACGGTATTGCCTTCTCTCCGAAACATCTGCCAACCCCCCTTCAACCATTTCTCTATTGAGAACTCTAGCACCATTCTCTTCAGATCCTTCTCTCCGAATTTGCCAACCTGGTTGGAAAACGCGTGGTTTCCTTATTGAGAACGAGCGAAGAGAGTGGTTGCAATCAAGCTTTAACATGAAAGAGGACCCCTCTGCCTCATGTCAAGAGATCTGAATTCTGACCAAAAGTCCATGGGAAAGCAGCGGGTTTGGGATTCTCGATGCGTAGCATGGTTGGATCGATCCCCTGCGTTTCATATCCAACTTCCTTGCTCTGTCCGCTTTGGACGTTCAACTTAGCTGGACTATGATTACTGGGAATACTGGCGGCTGACTTACCGTGGAGTGGCTTTTTGAGCAGACCCACAATCCCCCAAGTCCCGCTTTCACAAATCCCCACTCACGTCCGCGTTTCATCAACGCTTGTCTTGGCAGGGAGGCCACCTTCCCTCTAAAGCGGTCCTTTTGCTTTCACTCGAAAACCGACCAAACAGGCGTACTCCAAAGCAAACACCGTCAAAGGGACCAATCTCGGACCCAGATGTCCACCATATTGGGGTTCATCACTTGGGGAAGCCATATGTTCAGCTACAGACTTTCTGGGTCCAAGGCTGGCCCCTTTGACACAGACCCACATGGCCATGGGTCAAAAGCCAAATCGGTTAGCCCCCAGTGAACATCCCAATCCCCACTCAAATAGACCAACATGGGTGGTGAATTCACCTACCCCAAAATGGGATCCCATTGGCTTTGACCCACGGCCATTTTGTCAACCCGAGATTCAGCTTGGACAAGTCAGCGGGCGGGTACTTCCCAAAGGTCGTGTGCCCCACGAAGGGCAAGTTCAGCCTGCCGTGCTCGTACACGCCTGGCTCGTTTCATTTTTTTGGTTGAGCCCGCACGAATACCCCCCTACCCCGTGCTTCCAGTTACCACTGTAGTAGGTAGCCCTTCAGTATGGCTACCTCTAGGTTTTTCATCATGGGGAAACCCCTGGCTACCTTATACAGTCACCAAACGCCTGGAAGCACTGGGCTATGGGGTGTCCCCTGCAAAAGTGGGAAGTGAATCCCCACTAAAACCAGGGGCACCCCCCATGTGAATAAATTGGGGTTTCTTAATCCGAGTCAACTTTTTGTGGCCAGGGCATTATGGATGGCTGATCCGCAACTGAGCCACTTGTTTGGTTACCTAAAGGGGGATGGCAACTGATGAAAACATCCTGCGGTTGGGATGGATGAAACCCGATTTGAATACTGGTAACCAGCAATCGCAACTGGTTCGATTCGGATTGTGTCCACAGGTTCATTGCCAACATCCTTTTTGTTTAATCCAGGTTGAGCAGGGATCCTCACATTATACACCTGAACATTGCCTTGTCAATGGTGGGTTCCCTTTACTTTGGTGTAAAAAGCCATGTTTCAAATGGGCAAAATGTATCTTTTAAGGAGCCCTGTTGAATAAACCTCTATTGATTTCTCTGGTGCCAGTTTTGGGGCTCAGACCACTTTTGGAGGGCAGGGGATCATCTGCGCACACAAATCTGGATCATCTGTACACACAGGCTTTCCTCACTTATTGCGCCATGCACTCTGGATCATCTGCGCACACAAGGTTTCGGTCATCTGGCTCATCTGTACACACACACACTCTTGGCAGGGTGGGGGGGTGGGGGGGGGGGATTGGTAAGCACACCCGCTCAAGTGCGCCCGCTCAGCACTGTGGGGGGGGGGGGTGGTGGGGGGGAGGGGGGAATGGTAAGCACACCCGCTCAAGTGCACCCGCTCAGCGCTGTTTCCACGCATGCGGAAGAGTAGCCCGAAGGGGTGGGGGAATGGTAAGCACATGCCTGCCACCTAATAAGCATACCCGCTCACGTGCAACAGATGGGGTGCGGTGTTGGGGAAGGGTGGGGTGGGGGTGGGGCTGGGGCGGGGCGGGGTGGGGCACACCCGCTCACGCGCGTCCGCCTAGCGCTGCATCCACGCTTACCACCTAATAAGCACACCCGCTCACGCGCGCCCGCCCAGCGCTGCACGCATGCCTGCCACCTGATAAGCACGCCCACTCACGTGCAACACATGCCTGCCGCCTTAATGAGCGCCTGCTCAGGGTGGGCTGGGCAGGGGTCAGGCTTTGGGGAGGTTGGGGTGGGGTGGGGCACACCCGCTCACACACGCCCGCCCAGCACTGCGCACATGCCTGCCACCTAGCAAGCGCACCCGCTCACGCGTAACAGATGGGGTGGGGTATTGGGGAGGGGGGGTGGTGGGGGTGGGGGTGGGGGTGGGGGTTGGGTCCGGGGTGGGGCACCTGCTCACGCGCGCTCGCGCAGCACTGCATTCACGCCTCCCACCTAAAAAGCGCACCCGCTCACGTGCACCCGCCCAGCACTGCGCGCATGCCTGCTACCCGTAGCGAAAACAATTGGCACCAAACGCACACTCGTATGACATGCTTTGGATCCATGGTCGCCTGGTGCAAGTCGTCTAGAAAGGTCACGCTGGTGTGGTTCCAGCAGCCCAAAACAGGGGGGGGCACTTCTCTGCTCACTCGGACTAGGATCAACAGAGTCAAGGCTTCTAGGGCCTCGTGCTCCATGGACATCCCTATCGTGCTACAGGGTTTTGTGCCGTTCGGACATGCAGTTCAACCCCTCTTGATAAAGTGGTCTTCCTTGGTTTTGTTCGTGGCTCAGATGTATATATATATATCTCTCTCTCTCTCTAGCCTCAGGAGCCAAACGTCCATCTATGCTAAAAGGTGTGCCCTATTGCCCACCCCCCCCCCCCCCCCACACACACACCCCCGCATCACGTATCCACAAATGATGCTACACACGCTCACGTGCAGGCGGGACCGTGCTCGCGCAAGCCTAAACAGACACTCTCACAAGTACCTGAAACGGCTGCACTCACGCTAGCACGCGCAAAGATACACACTAAAACGTGCCTAAGGCCGCTGCACGCATGCTGGCGCAAATGCGGATACATACGCTCACATGAGCAACTTGCGCAACCTCTTGTATAGCCAAAGGACATCGGGTAGAGGTTAGTGTTTTTTTGTGTAACCCTATCGTTCTACAGGGCTTTGTGCATTCGGCCAATTCACAAGTGTAGTACAGGAAGTACACTAGGGCAACTCCGGCTAGAAGGAAGTCGCAACTTTTCAGTACAAGTGTAGTAAAGAAAGTGCACTTTGGCAGCTCCACGGAACCTTTCAGCACAATTGTAGTGAAGGAAGTACACTTTGGCAGCTCCGGCTCGGAAGTCGCAACTTTTCAGTACAAATATAGTAAAGGAATTACGCTCACCTGCTCAAATCCTTACATAAGGGTAGCCCCGTGCGCATATCCATGTCTAAGCGGGTTATCGCTATGTTGGTATGTCACGTCCAGAGGTAAACCGCACAGGAGACAACGGAACACAACATTTCCTATGTTCATACGACAGAAAGGCAAGGAAACATGCAGCTGTCAACGCCCCTGTCCCTTCTTGTGCATAGCAGTAAGCACTGCGTGTACAAACGATCCGGGGCAAAAAAGGCCCGCGTGCAGAGACGATCCGGTCCCGCGTGTACAGACGATCCGAATTTCGCGTGTACAGACGATGCACTGACCACTTTTGGAGGGAACACCTTCCTACTAATGTTGACCCAGGATTAATAAACCTGTCCAATTATTAGGGGGTGTTCCCTCCAAAAGTGATGAATCCCCACTAAACCCAATCAAAATCAACCAGGGGTTTATTAATCCGGGGTTAACATTCATACGGCGAATCCATGGGATCTGCCCTCGAGACGGGTATTTTGGCCCGCAAACGCACAAACACTACTGGACTTCAGATCGCCAAGCTCCGACTGTCCCGTTGGCCCAACAAGCTCGTCTACGAAAAGCAAACCCTATACCCCCTAAAACCCCAAATTCCCTATGTAAATTTTACACCCTAGACCCCGAACCTAAACCCCAAGCCCAACAGGTAATGTTAAAAATAGGCGGGGGTCATTCTGCGGTCGACTCCGGAAAACGGTTTGGATGTTTGTTTTTTTGTGGATCCACCCCTGTAGGATATTAAAAGAGTACTAAAAGATTAAAACAAAAGGAACCTACAGGTGGGAAGAACAGGTGACATCCACAAAAAGCGCATCCAAACTGTTTTCTAGATGTCAACACAACCTGATTGCCTATTGAAAGCCAGGTGGCATCCTCCTCTTCAACATGCCCCCATCTCCCCATCTAGGTGCCCCAATTCCATTTGTCTAGTCGTCCCCATAAACGGGAAAATGAGTCATAATCCAAACCTGGGACAAAAATGGTGAACCCGGAACCATGTAAGGAAATGGAAAAGGCGGCCGAACCTCCTTCATCTACCCGGGTTTTGATTGAGGCTCAAATGAAACCAATGGAGTTCCAAGGGTCACTGCCCTGGATGTGTGTTCGGATATTGAGTGAGTACGCATGTCCCCCCCAAACTGCGCAGAGACCACTCGTAATTTCGCAACGAACCTCATCCAAACATTAGACGTGGGTGAAGCCTCCCCATTTCCTCGGTACATGTGATCCAGATAATCCCCTTTCCCTCACTTCCTGAGTGGATTGGCCAAAACATGTCCAAACTTGTTGGTCGCCACCAAAATGGTCTTCCCGAAAAGTTGAAAGTCCAGGAACTCGGGGAGTGAGTTCCTTCACTTGATCAACCAAATGTCGGCAACTGCACCCATGCTCCACAAGCCCTTCGCTTGCTCGAGCGTGCCTTCTGCCCAAGCACTGCTTGCACACAGCAGCAGAGCTATTCCCAACATGGCGCGCTAGGCGCACTTGGCTCAAGGCAAGGCACGCTGGCTCGTTCACCTCCGCCTTTCTCAGGGGTCTTTAGCTTTAATTCACTTGTTGGGCGGTCGATACATCACCCACTGGAAGGCCGTGGTAATAATTTTGTGCACCCCCAAGTAGCTAGCACTCCCTTGTTGGTTGATCCTTTGCGAAAAAGGCTCACGCGAGATCGACCGTTTTGTGAAAAGGAACAAGTGGCACCACCAGGGCCCCCGTTTCAACTCAACTCCCATGCCGAGCTCTCCTGTTTTGCCCAAGCTACAGGCGTGAAGCCATGGACTTCTCGTCCAAAGTTGGATCACATTTTCCGGGTGGTTGCCATGGAAGCGGTCGCCACTTCTGGAGGTTCCAAAAAGGGAAATGGCTTGGAAGCCCTGTGCTCCTGGAGTCTTTTCTGCGCTTTGCACTTGGAGCCAAAGCGATGCGCCAAGAGGATTCTTCAAGCCAAAGAGGCGAGCCGAAACGGGTTTGCTGCCCGAAATCCCGGACAAAAGGGTAAACAAATGTAGAGAAATGGCAAGCTTTGACATGACAAAACAACAAAAACACCAATTTCTTGGCTGCTGTTGAGCCCTCTGCAAAAAGCTCCTCACATGTTGTGGGTGCAATGCAACATCCACTAGTTCCCAAAAAGTGAAGTCCGACGATCGAACCAAATAGCCATAAACATCTTTAACCCTTGACTCAGGGTCCCTATGTTTCCCCTCTTCGTGGTTCTAAACACATCATCTTTTGGGCCAGTTTAAAGGGTGATGCTTGCAAGAGAAAGAACAAATTGGCCATGAGAATGCCATGAAGTTTGAAGAAAGTCACGCAGGTGGGGCAAACCTGGCATGGCTTTGTGTTGGGCCAAGTGCCTACACCAACGACCATGACCAACCAACCAGACTACCTCTGTTGGCCTCTCGCGCGAATCCGGCAATTGTGCACTGGTGTTCGCTTTCAAGTGGGCAAGCGGTGAGATTCAGCTCAGTTGCAACCCACATATACATGCGCACTTGCAAGTGGGCTGGCACATAGGCGAATCTGACCATTAACTCCCTTCCAACCTCCGTGGCAGAGACAACACAAGTCGTGATATTCCCCGTTCAAACCCACTGGGAACTTAAATCTGGGCTGTCCTCAGATCCCCTGCAAGAAAAAAATGTGGGTTCAAAGGAGCCCCAACCACTCAACCCCCAAAAACAACTCAAAACGTAAGGAACCCCCCACGAAACCAGCGAAAAACCAGTAACAACATCAGAACCCCCCTCTCCCCCCACAAAACCAACAAAAATCCACTCAATACCTCAGGAACCCGACAAAAACTTCGCTGGGAACCGGAACCTCTCCGCAATGAAACGCACCCCCGTCTGCTTTTTCGCCCCCTGGAAAAAGAAGAAAACCTGTCCAGTGGTAAAATCGATTCCCTTTACAACCAAGAGGGGAAAAACCATATTCTGCAGCAAATGGACGTTCAAGTCCAGAGATCCCACCAAATAGCCAGAGGGTCAGAAGACTAGATCCGAGCCTTCGAAAAGAATGACCCTGAAATCATGGGGCCCCTTCTGATTTTTAAAGGGTCAGAAAAAGACTCCAGGATGATCCGAACCTCTCCGAACTTCGAACTTCGCTGAGCTGGCGTCGGGAGCGGCGATCTTGCCCACCATCAGCACGAAGCTGCTGAGCTGCCGCGCCCGCGCGTGGAGCCGCAGCTCCTGCCGTCATGGTGAGGCGCGGGTAGGAAGGTGCCAGCTATGGCGCACATGCATAGACGGTATTGATTACATATGTATGTATATGTATGTATATGTATATATATATATACACAACATGTGGTGTTTATACATATATATATATATATGCATGCGTGTATATATTTATACGAAGTATCATTGGACCATCATGTATGTGTAAGTGCAGGTATGTGTAAGTGCAGGTGTACTTATAAATATAGTCTACACATATATCAGTTAGCACTTTTTAGCAGGCGGCGCAGTTAGCACATCCCTGGGTTGGCCGGAATGCCCCCGTCAGCCCCGAACAGTTAGCACACACCTGCCACACCCCGAAACCGAAAGGGGCGACCAACAGTTAGCACATGCCTCTCTGGTTGTGGGCAGAGATACGCTTTCTGAAACGAGCAACTTTCGCAACGCAGTACAAGTGTAGTAAAGAAAGTACACTTGGCAGATCCGTCTCAAAAGTCGCAACTTTTCAGTACAAGTGTAGTAAAGGAAGTACACTTGGCAGATCCGTCTCAAAAGTCGCAACTTTTCAGTACAAGTGTAGTAAAGGAAGTACACTTTGGCAGCTCCGGCTCGAAAGCCGCAACTTTGCAGCACAACTGTAGTCCAGGAAGTACGCATTGGCAGCTCCATCCCGGACGTCTCAACTTTTCAGTACAAGTGTAGTACAGGAAGTACGCATTGGCAGCTCCTGCTCGGAAGTCCCAAATTTTCACTACAAGGAAGTATGCTTTGGCAGGTCCGGCTCGAAAGTCGCAACTTTTCAGTACAAGTGTAGTGAAGGAAGTACACTTTGGCAGCTCCAGCTCGAAAGTCGCAACTTTTCAGTACAAGCGTAGTAAAGGAAGTACATTTTGGCTCCGGCTCGAAAATCGCAACTTTCCAGTACAAGTAGTAGCGGAAGTACACTTTGGCAGGTCGGGCTCAAAAGTTGCAACTTTTCAGTACAAGTGTAGTAAAGGAAGTACGCTTTGGCAGCTCCGGGTTCGAAAGTCGCAACTTTGTGTAGCAAAGGAAGTAGATTTGGCAGATCCGGCTCGAAAGTCCAGTACAAGCGTAGTAAAGGAAGTACACTTTGGCAGCTCCAGCTTGAAAGTCGCAATTTTTCAGTACGAATGTAGTAAAAAAAGTAGCTCCAGCTCAAAAGTCTCAACTTTTCAGCACACGTGTAGTATAGTGCGTGTCAATCAGTTAGCACTTTTTCCTAGGCAGATATCACATTACTGTGTTGGCCGGAATGCCCCCGTCACCCCTGAACAGTTAGCACACACCTGCCACACCCTGAAACCCAAAACAGCGGTCAACAGTTAGCACATGGGGCTCTCTGGCTTTGGGCAGGCGAACAGAACATCAAAGGGCTACATACGCTTTCTCGAATGTTCATGGAAGCACACGTGTCAAATCGTCACTAAGCGTAGAAACTTGCAGAACCCAGTAAGCCTATGATGGAGGAAGGGTGTGCGGTGGACTGGCTTACATGGAGCTTGCGTGGATAGGTGATGCTTTACTTGGCCCTAGTACTTTGTTGAACGTTATTGTTGTGTTACAGTGTTTTCGAACTTTGGCAGCTCGGCTGGAAAATCGCAACCTTGTAGCACAAGTCTAGCTACGCGAAGTACACTTCCGCAGCTCCAGATCGAAAATCCCAACTTTGTAGCACACAAGTCTAGCGCGCGAAGTGCACTTCCGCAGCTCCAGCTCGAAAAACGCAACTTTGTAGTGCAAGTCTAGTGCGCGAAGTGCACTTCCGCAGCTGGGGCTCGAAAATTGCAACTTTGTGGTACAAGTCTGTGCGCGAAGTACACTTCCGCAGCTCCAGCTCAAAAATCGCAACTTTGTAGTACAAGTCTAGTACGCGAAGCACACTTCCAAATCGCAACTTTGTAGTGCAAGTCTAGTGCGCGAAGCACACTTCCGCAGCTCCAGCTCAAAAATCGCAGCTTTGTAGTACAAGTCTAGTACGCGAAGTGCACTTCCGCAGGTCCAGTGCGAAAATCGCAACTTTGTAGCACAAGCCGAGCACGCGCGAAGAACACAAGTCGCGACTCGCCTTAGCGTTTTACGGCGGCCACGCAAGGGTCCCACCCCAACTAAGCTGCAACTGCAGGGGCTATTGTAGAGCCACGTGTTAAGTAACGGTTATCGTTTTTGGGGGAGACCTTATCGTTGTCCGTGGCTTTTTGGAGTCGTAGGCCAAAGCGTACCCCCTTTACCAAAGTGGTCTACACGTGTTTTGTCCGTGGCTCTTTTGTGTCCCACGACTCCCCAGGGTGAAAAACAAGAGTTTGCCAACATACAAATGGATTGCGTGGAAATCCAGCAATGCAGCTCCGGCTCGCAAGTCGCAACTTTTCAGTACAAGTGCAGTAAAGGAAATACACTTTGGCAGCTCCGGCTCGAAAGTCGCAACTTTTCAGTACAAGGAAACTTTGGCAGCTCCGGCTCGAAGGTCGCAACTTGTCAGTACAAGTGCAGTAAAGGAAATACACTTTAGCAGCTCCGGCTCGGAAGTCGCAACTTTTCAGTACAAGGAGATACACTTTGGCAGCTCCGGCTCGAAGGTCGCAACTTGTCAGTGCAAGTGTAGTAAAGGAAGTACACTTTGGCAGCTCCGCCTCGAAAGTCACAACTTTTCAGCACATGTGTAGTAAAGGAAACGCACTTTGGCAGCTCCGGCACAAAAGTCGCAACTTTTCAGTACAAGTGTAGCAAAGGAAATGCACCTCGGCAGCTCCAGCTCAAAGGTCGCAACTTGTCAGTACAAGTGTAGTAGACAAAGTGCACTTTGGCTGGCAAACGTACAAACGCTCGGGCTCCCGCTTGGGGCGACACGGATGCCACGCAACAGGCGTCAGCAAATGGAAGAGCAACCGCGTTCGAGTTTCTGTTCGGGCCGAGCACGGGTGCCACGCAAGGGCACAAGCAAAGGCAAGCGAAGCCACGCTCAGAATCCCGCTCGGATCCCGCCCGGGCCGAACGCGGATGCCACGCAAAGGCGTCAGACCCTCTTGCGGAAGCCATACAGTTAGCACACGCCAGACCCTCTTGCACCTCGCTTGGCCGTGTCAGCCAGCCAGGATGCAACCGCGCTTCTCCTACAGTATTTGCCGTTTCCTGCAACGGCAGCCCAACTGTCTTGATCATTGAATTTGGCTTTGGGATTCACAAACAACGGGCCCCTAAAAGCCTGGCAACTCCACCCCTGAAAGCCTGGCAACTCCAACCCTAAAGCAATGCTTCCTGCGACTTGAAAGGGCGCCCGTAGAATAAAACAACACTATCAAGAAGCTTGCATTGTCCGAGTTTTGTGTCCAAACGCAAACACATTTTCGTAGCAAAACAGTTGGGCACCAAGTTTCGAAGTGAAGCTGACTTGGGCACCGTGTACAAGCTTTACCCGCAAGACAAAGACAAGTCCATAATCATGAAGAAACACCGTGCCCTGGTTTTACTGCCGCAAACAGGCTTGGGATCGCGCTCGGGCCGAGCACAGACGCCGCGCAAAGGCGCTGGTAAAGACCAAAGCAAAGCAGACACGCTCGGGATCCCGCTCGGGCCAAACACGTGCGCCGAGCCAAGGTGCAGGTAAGGAACAACGGGAGTCCACTCAGGCCAACTATGGATTCAGCGCGCAGGCGTAGCCCGCTCGGGATCCCGCTCGGCCCGAGCACGGGTGCCACGCAACGGCAAGAGCAAAGGCAAGCGAAGCCAATCCCGACCGGGGCGAACGCGGATGACACGCAAAGGTGTCACTTGCGGAAGCCATACAGTTAGCACACGCCAGATTCTCTTGCACCTCATTTGGCCGTGTCAGCCAGGACTCTTCGCATTACGCTTGCCAACGCGCTTCTCCTACAGTACTCACCGTTTCCTGCAACGGCAGCCCAGCTGTCTTGATAATTGAATTTGGCTTTTGGAAATACAAAGAATGGGCAGCCTTAACTTCACCCCTAAAAACCTGACAACTCCACCCCTAAAGCCATGCTTCCTGCGACTTGAAAGGGCGCCCGTGGCAAAAATACACGACATTATCAAGAAGCTCGCATTGTCCGAGTGTTGCACCATGTTGCATCCAAATGCAAATGCATTATCGTAGCGGAACAGTTGGGCCATCAAGTCCCGAACTCAAGCTGGGCTAGGACACTGTGTGAAAGCCTTACCAGCAAGAAAACGACAAGTCCATAATCCTGAAGAAACACCGTGCTCTGGTTTCACTCTTGAAAGCCCACAAATACGCTCGAAGTTTTGCCGGGGCCGCGCCCGCAAACAGGCTTGAGGCCCCGCCCGGGCCGAGCACAGACGCCGCGCAAGGCGCTGGTAATGCGCAGGCGGCTGAAAGGACCAAAGCGGCCAGGCTCGCTTGCCCGCTCGGGATCCCGCTCGGGCCGAGCACGGATGCCACGCGAAGCACCGCTCGGGATTTCCGGGGTGAGCGCGGATGCCACGCAAAGTCCTCAGACCCTCTTGCGGAAGCCATACAGTTAGCACACGCCAGAGCGCCTCGTTTGGCCGTGTCAGCCAGGGCTCTTTGCATCACGCCTGCCAACCCGCTTCTCTACTGCAATAGCTGTCTTGACAATTGAATTTGGCTTTGGGATTCACAAACAACGGGCCCATATACAAGCCTGGCAACTCCACCCCGAAAGCAATGCTTCTTGCGACTTGAAAGGACGCCCGTAGCAAACATCAACGACATCATCAAGAAGCTCGCGTTGTCCGAGTGTTGCATCATGTTGCATCCAAACGCAAACGCATTATCGCAGCGGACAGTTGGGCCCGTGTAAAAGCTTTACCCGCAAGAAAAAGACAAGTCCGTAATCCTGAAGAAGCACCGTGCTCTGATTTTACTCTTCAAAGCCCACAAATACGCTCGAAGTGTTGCCGGGGCCGCGCCTGCAAACAGGCTTGGGATCCCGCTCGGGCCGAGCACAGATGCCGCACAAAGGCGCTGGTAAGGACCAAAGCAGACA